TCCTGTAATTTTTTGCTTTATGCTCCCTCTGGTTCTTAATTAACTTGACACTTTGACTTCACACAGATTAAGAAATTTTACTGTAAAGTGCACTGTTTTGCACTGTTTTGGTGTAGAAAAAGAAGTGTGAAGTTTAATATGGGACAGTCTAAAAAGAAAAGTGTAAAGTTAATTAAGAACCGGAGGGAGTAATATTTTAATGTTTTGATGATGTAAGTTAACTATGAAGTACTATGCTAACTTCTTTAATACTCCCTATTTTTTTAATAGTTTTTTTTTATTAATTAGAGATACGCAGGGGTAGGGACCCCGTGCCTCCGACTTTCTGGGTCCGCCACTGTATGTACCCACTCTTATACACACTTTTGTACCCACCTATGTTTGTGAAGTGTTTTTTTAGTCTGTGAACTCCGATTCACAGACAATATTTTGCACAAATAAAATTTTGTCTGTGAACCAGGTTCACAAACAAACAAAAACACTTCATAAACATGGTAGGTATAAGAGTGGGTACATCAAACATTGTTGTTTTTCTGAAAGTACTTTATGCATTAAGATTTTTGTTTTGATATCATACTGTTAGTATATTTTAAATGTAGTTTTACGCGTGTTTGACCAAAAAATCAATCCTCAAATATAAGAGTGTTTATATGATGTGTTGAATAAACAGTTTGAATCGAGTAAAACAATTACGTAGTAATTTAGTACAAGTAGTATTCTTGAGTTATGATGTTAATGATAAATTTCATTTTAAAATCAATCTATTCCAAGATTTTGACTATCATTTTGTATAGGAGAAATCTAGACGTCTTAAAGGGTTCTCATTTTGTATAAATGAATGGTGGAGACAAAATAGATACGGAGTATCCACTACAAAAAAACACTCGTTTAGTCACGGACCGTAGTCACGGATTTGGTCCGTGACTAGCCTAGTCACGGACTAGTCACGGAATATTCACGAAAATTCAAAAAAAAAAATTAGTCACGGATTTGACCGTGACTACAGCCGTGACTACGCGTAGTCACGGAAATTTGTCCGTGACTAACATCCTCCGATTGCCCGTTTGTTTTTCCGACCTGGCTTGTTTTACTCCGGCGACATAGTCACGGCCACATCCGTGACTACAGCCGTGACTAAATTTAAAAAATAATTTTTCATCTCCCATAAATCAATCCGCAACGGTATTATGTACGGATAAATTTAGTCACGGCCATGTCCGTGACTATGTCCGTGACTACTTTGATTAACACGTCATTTACATGTCATTAACACGGATCGGACGCGTAATGGACACGGTTTTGCTTAGTGACGGACAAATCCGTGACTAAGTCCGTGACTACATTTTTTATATATGCAGGAGCAGCTCATTCATTCAACAGAACCACACGAATTCATTCCCAGTATATACAGTATCTGTTTGAAAGATCGAAGGATGTAGTCTGTCTTCTATCATTTTCCCCATTTATGCAGTTAAGGTATGTTATTTGAATTATTATTTTTATTTAGAATTAGTTGGTTCAATTTAAATTATTAAAATTATTAAATTAGTGATGTTGTTAATTAATTAACAACATATTCAACTGTAAGCGTAGTAATGTCATAAAATTAGTTAAACTGTTAGGTTTATAAAATAATTTAATTAAAATTAGTTAGCTAAACGTAGTTTTAAACGTAGTGATCTTTATGTTAAGTGAAATTAGTTAGTTAAACGTACGTTAGTAATGTGTTAATTAAGTGTATTGTGAATTGTTATTGTAATTGTGTATTATTTATTAATTCAAATGACCTTATATACATGTTCAAATTATTGGGTTTAATTTGGTCATATTATTTAATTTAGTGAATTGGAATTGTTAATTGTGTAGTACTAATAACATTAAATGTCATTAACGTAATAATTTAGTGTAGGTTTAAATGTAGGTTTACAAAAATAATTTAATTAAAATTCGTTAGCTAAACGTAGGTTTAAACGTAGCTAGTGATGTGTTAATTATGTTATATTAGTTAGCTAAACGTGGGTTTAAACGTAGTGATGCATTAAAAGAGGACGGAATGAACTAGTTAAATTTAGTTAAATTTAACTAAATGAATTAGTTAAATTTAGTTAAACGTATGTTTAATTTAAATGTAGTGTTAATAAATTACTTAATTTTTTTTTAATATTAGTTAAATTTAAGTATTAGGTAATTACTTATATTTTGTGAATTATTGTTGTGAATTGTGTGCATTTCATTTAATTTAGTGAAAATTAGTTAGTTGATTATTTAGTGAAATAACTCACTGAAAATTTGTTAGTATTATTGTTAGTATTTGAACGTGTATACTTTTTTATTATAATATTCAGGCATAATGTATAAACAAAATAGAAGTTGGATGTATGATAAAGATGCGGTATTGTACGGAATGCAATCAAATTTTCTCGAGGGAGTTGGGGAATTTATTGAATTTGCACTTGAACATCCGGCTTATATGAGTGGTGATAAAATAAGATGTCCATGTTCAAAGTGTAAAAATCTCAAATTTAAAGACCCACACGAAGTTGGGTATGATTTGTACGCGGTCGGTTTTGTTCCCAATTATTATAATTGGACTTCTCACGGCGAACCTTTGGATCCATCTGTTATACCACAAACGGTAGGTTCGTCTCGTTACGTCCCTCCAGAGATGAGTGCGTGGGGAGACCGTGCTGAAATGAGGTGGGACCAACAAATGGTATATGACGCATACGGTGTACCGATGTCTCAGTTCAACCCCCCACAACCACCTAACGACCCCCCTGAAGCCTCAACCTCGTATCAACCAGATGCGGATGAAAATCCGACATTTTATCAACCTTATGTGGATGAAGGTTTGGCTGAGAGATTTCAGGATGTTCTAAAAGCTGCCGACCAACCTCTGTATGCTGATTGTGAGGGATACTCTCAGCTATCCGCCGTTACTGAATTCATGAACATAAAAGCCGAATACAGTCTCCCTGAAACTTGCATGAATAGAGTCTTGCAGTCAGTAGGAGGGATGCTACCGCGAGATCATACCCTTCCGGATTCATATTACCACATGAAGCAGTTAATGTCTAAGTTGGGGCTACCTTGTGTTGAAATTGATGCGTGCCCGGAAGGGTGTATGTTGTTCTGGAAGGAGGATGAGGCACTTGAGTTCTGCAAGTTCTGTGGTGGAGACAGATACAAACCTGTTCGTCAAGGTAAAAAGAAACCACGACATAGGTCTGCACTGTCTAAACTGTATTACCTCCCAATAGCTCCTCGACTGCAGAGGATGTACGCTTCGACTGCTACTGCGAAACACATGACATGGCATGTTGAGCACGAAACCAACGACGGTATGATGGCTCACCCTTCGGACTGTGAAGCCTGGAGACACTTTGACCGCTGTCATCCTCAGTTTGCTATGGAGCCACGAAATGTGCGGCTGGGATTGTGCTCAGATGGATTTGCTCCTTTTGGCAGGTTTGGCAAGAACTATTCATGTTGGCCGGTCATGTTAACTCCTTACAATCTCCCTCCCGACATGTGCATGAAAAGTCATTTCATATTTTTGTCTTTAATTTGTCCGGGTTCCAAGGATCCTGGGCGAAAGATAGACATTTATCTCCAACCCCTTATCGAGGAGATGAAAGAACTGTGGGCCGTTGGGACACCAACTTATGATGTTTCATCAGATAAAATGTTTATCATGAAAGCTGCCATCATTTGGACCATTAGCGACTTCCCTGCCTATGGCATGCTTTCGGGATGGAGCACACACGGTTTGATGGGATGTCCGATATGTATGGAGAAATCAGGTGCCAACTGGCTGAGTTACAGCAAAAAAGGAAGTTACTTTGATTGTCACCGCAAGTTTCTCCCGGAAAGGCACCGATATCGAAAGGACAAGAAGTCTTTCATTAGAGGCAGAGCGGTACGAGAGAGCCCACCCTCGAGATTGACCGGTGAAGAAATTTATAACCGGGTTCGACGTTTTCCTACGGCTATGGAAGAGCCAAACCAAGAGCCATATGGGTATTGTGATACCCATAAGTGGACAAAGAGGAGCATATTCTGAGAGTTGCCTTATTGGAAAGACCTTCTCATCCGTCACAATTTAGATGTCATGCACACTGAGAAGAACGTCTTTGACAATATATTTAACACGGTGATGGATTTGAAAGGCAAAACTAAAGACGGTCTTGCAGCTAGGAAAGATATGACTATTTGGTGTGATAGACCCGAACTTTCTGTTGATCTAGAATATCAGGGCAAGGAAGTTCCAAAAGCAGTCTACCAGGTCACAGAACCACAAAAGGCAGCAATATTACAATGGCTTGCGTCTCAGAAGTTTCCAGATGGCTACTGCTCCAACTTGTCTAGATGCGTAGACATGAACAAACTTACCACGACGACGAGCATGAAAACTCACGATGCTCATGTAATAATGCAAAGACTTCTACCAATTGCACTAAAAGAGATGCTTCCTGAACACGTATGGTCCTGCATTACTGAAATCAGTTTGTTGTTTCAATCGATATGTTCCAGCGTTTTGGATGCGGCATCCCTCCGGAGACTACAAGATTCTGTTCCCATTCTGATGTGTAATCTAGAAAAAATAATGCCTCCATCGTTTTTCGATACAATGGAACATCTTATAATACATCTTCCGTATGAGGCTTTGACCGCTGGGCCCGTCTTCTATCGCTGGATGTACAGATTTGAAAGGTTAGTAACAATTTCATTTAAAAAAAGAATATTTATTTCACAATAACTGTTAACATGTGTACCGTTGTTATATTGCATTATTGCAGATTTCTAGGAGAGCTGAAAAAGAAAGTGACCAACAAGGCACACGTTGAGGCTTCAATTTGTCAAGCGTATCTTCAACAAGAAATCTCAACGTTCTCGTCTTTTTACTTCGAGCGTGACGTCATCACCAGAAGGAAGAGACCTGCCCGGAACAGGTAAAGGTAAAGGTGCTGCGACACAACGATACATCGTGGGTGGGGAATTGCAAATTGCACATACTTATATCCTCATGAATTGTCCAGAAATCTCACCGTTTTATCAGTAAGTTAAATTTGTAGTTATAATTGTAATACTTATCAATTAAATTTGTAGATAATTTATAATTTTTTTATTTTTGAATTCACAGTGAATTCAGAGCTTCTTTATCAGCCTTTCCTGAGAATCAAATTGATGCATTGGTAGACTCTGATTTTATAAATTGGTACAAGTATCAGGTATATATATACACACACATTAATTATATACTCCCTCCGTCCCAAAATGGTTGGCCAATGTTGACTTGCACGTGGAAAGTAAAAACTGTGTGGTTGAAATTTGTGCAGAGGAGAGAGAATTAACTTTAGCCACATATTTATTACTTTAAATGGAAATGGCCAACCTTTTTGGGACGGCCAAAAAAGGAAATTTGGCCAACCATTTTGGGACGGAGGGAGTATATATTATTAAGTAAGATTTTTCAATATTTACCTAATGTTATTATCATGTTTATATTTACAGATCAATAGTCGTGGGATTGTCGACCCTTTGTTAGTATCATTAGCGTGGGGCCCTAGTGCCAGTGCCAAAGTGTGGCGGCAATATGTGATAAACGGTTACACATATCACACAGGCGATTACGGAGAGGGCCGACCAACAACGAACAGCGGGTTATGTGTCCCGACCATCGGTTATGATAACTCGGAAACCAATTTTTTTGGTGTCCTGCAGGAGATTCTGGAACTTGAGATGCCTTCTTGTGCGAAAAAATTGACATGCGTTCTGTTCCGTTGCACATGGGTCGACCCCACACGTGGCGTGCGCAAAAATCCGAAGTATAATATGATTGACGTCAACCAGTCTCGTGTGTACCCGAAAAATGAGCCTTTCATACTCGCCCAACAAGCAGCGCAGATTTATTATGCAGAATATCCTTCAACAAGGCGGACACAGAATCCTTGGGTGTGTGCATGTCCTGTCCGTCCGAACAAAATAAAATCACAAACTCAACACAAGGACGTTGATCTAGATGCTTTTCAGCAACAATTTTTCCAACCTCCGCCTATTGTTGAGACGGTCAACTATGACATCCAATTAAGTGATCCAAATGGCGGACTAGTTGAAGTCATGCCAGAAACGCACCTTCCAGACCCAACCATTCCATCTGAGCGCGAAATTGAGGAAATGTATGTAGCACAACAAAACGCTCAATATCAGGAAGAAGGTGAATGGATAGACGGTTCAGATACAGAAGAAGATACTGTATATGTAGAAAATGACGATTCTGATAGCGAATAATTGTGCTGTTGTAATTTCAATTTTATTGACTTCTAATATTTGTGCAGATTTCTTCATCATTATATTACTCCAACAATATTTGAATTTTTTTCTATCTTTATCATTATTATTTATGAACAAAAAATTACTCCATATTAATTCAACCACAACAAGTTTTTTATATCCATATTATAAATTCAAAATAAAATTTTTCACAATTCGAAGTTTGAAAATTAAAATTTACCCAATACCAAATATGAAATTACTCTATATTATATTCTTTTATTTTCAAATTCGAAAATTCAAATATTATTTTTGATTTTTCTAAATTCGAAAATTAATTTTAATAATTTTTAATAATTCGAAATTCGAAAATTAATTTTAATAATTCTAAGTCTATTCGAAAATTAACAAAATTCGAAAATTAAAAAAAAAGTAATTTACTTTTAGTAATCTGAATATTATAATAAATTTAGATATTAATAAACAACTAACAGAGATTTATTTATCAAATTTCAAAGATAAATACAAAACACACAATGAAATTGTCACATACTCCCTCCGTCCCTAATAACTTTGCCAAGTTTGACCGGCACGGGGATTAATAAAGTAAAAACTGTGTGGTTGAGGTTTGTGCAGAGGAGAGAGAATTAACTGGAACCACAAATTCTTTACTTAAATGGGAAAGTGGCAAAGTTAATGGGACATCCAAAAAAGGAAAGTTGGCAAAGTTATAAGGGACGGAGGGAGTATTATTTATCAAACAACTAACATAGATTTATTTATCACATTAACCTAACTAACATTATTCATTCCTCAATCGGAAACTTTCAAGAGGCCTAGCCCACAACTCCTGAATTTTCATTCGAGCTTCTTCGTTGATCGGGTCCATATACTCTGAAACTTCTTGTGCACGTTGAAGCATCCGACACAAATTTCTTGCTTTTGACTTGCCCAACGAGTCGGATTCTTCATCTTTATAATCGCCAAAACTTTCAAGGGGTCTAGACATCAACTCCTTGATTCTCTCGTATGCTTCCACGGTTTTCGGCTCCATAAGCTCTGTAATCAGCTTAAGTCGTTTCATATCTCTACACATCGAATCCCAGTCAATTGGACCTCTATTAGCCATTTTTTTTTACAGTTCACTCTTGGGCCGGAGAAAGATGATTTATACAAAAAAATTTCAAGTTGTCACGGTCTTAGTCACGGATAATTCCGTGACTAACCTGTCAGTCTGGTAGCCGGAGAAGTGTCAGGGCCGCCGGTCTAGTCACGGTTTTATCCGTGACTAGAACCGTGACTAAATTCAAAATTTGAATTAGTCACGGTCTTAGTCACGGATAAAGCCGTGACTAGACCGGTCAAAGGCGGCTAATGCCGCGTGGCTGATTTCGTTGATTACGAAGGGTTTAGTCACGGATATAACCGTGACTAAAACCGTGACTACTCCGTCATATAAAACTAACACTTAGCGATTTTTTTCAAACCTACGCTTCCAAACCCTATTTTCCTCTCAAACTCTTTCCCTTCTAACTTCCCCTTCCACCGCCGCCGTCCTGAGTGCAGCGCCGCCGCCGTCCTGAGTGCAGCGCCGCCGCCGTCCTCCGTGCACTGCCGTTGTCCGCCGCCGGTTGCCGCCGTTCACCGCCACCGTCCACCACTCCTTTTTTTTCGCACCTCTCTCTCCACATCAAGGTTATGTTTTCTCAATTAATTTTTTACACACAAATGCATGTTTATGTACTCAAATGCATGTTTATAATTGAATGCCCTAATGATGTATTCTACAATTACATATTTATGTGTATATACATTTAATATGATTATATGTGTATATGTGTTTACGTTTACACACAAATGCATGTTATTATTATGTTCGCATTACAATATTAATTTAGTAATATTGTAATATTAATTTCACATTACAATATTAATTTGCATGCTCAATATTAATCTCTCCACGATTATTAGTTTTGTTTTAATTTCGAATTACAATATTAATTTGCATGCTCAAAGTTGATAAAATTTGTTTTTTCTTTTTTGTTTGATTTCTAATACGCATGCTTTAGATATAGTTTGATTCAATTTGATTTTTTGTGTATAAGTTTAATATGCATGCCTAAATATGATTTAATTTTAGGTTAAACAACATGCATGTTTTTTCGATCAAATGCATGATTTAATTTCGGACTTATGCATGAATTATTTAGACATTGTTAGGATTATTATTATTTTATCATCAATCAAATTTATTATTTCCGAATTATTTAAAAAATACCCCCTCATGTCAAAGTTCCAAAAAAGTTTAACATGTTAATTATAAAATATTAATTTAGACATTAAAAACTATTTTCCGAAATAAAATATAAAATATATATTATAAAAAACAGTTTAATAATATACTGTTTTTTATTAAACAGTTTAATGAAAAACAGTTTGACAAAAAAAACAGTTTAAAAAAAAACAGTTTGATAAAAAACAATTTAATAAAAAACAGTTTAAAAAACAGTATAATATTAACAGATTGCAATCAAATAAAATCAGATTTTAATAAAAAACAATAAAAACTGCTTTCCAAAATAAAATATAAAATATAGATTATAAAAACAGTTTAATAGATAACTTATTTTTAAACCGTTTAATAAAAACTTTTTTTATTAAAAAGTGAAATATTAATCATTTTTAAAGTTTAAAACAATCTGTTTTTCATTTTTTATGAAAAACAGATTTTTTATTCAACAATTTTTATTAAAAAGTGAAATAATAAAAAAACAGTTTTTAATAAAACTGTTTATATAAAACTGTTTTTATAAAACTTTTTTATATAAAACTTTTTTTGTATAAATTTTTTTTTATATAAACTGTTTTTTTATAAAACTTTTTTTAAATAAAACAGTTTTATATAAAAACAGTTTTGTATAAAAACGGTTTTGTATATAAACGGTTTTATAAAACATAGTACGAAAAGTTAAAAAATAGTACGAAAATTCAAAAAAATATATTTTTTAACATGTACGAAAATAAATGTTTTACACATTTTTAATTGATAAAACTTGTATAAAAATTTGATCTTCTATTATGATCATACTAACATTCAAAAATATCCCCTCATGTTAAACTTCCAAAAAAGTTTAACATGTTAATTATAAAATATTAATTAAGACAGTCTAAACTGTTTTTCGAAGTTAAATATAAAATATAGATTATTAAAAACACATTAACAATATACTGTTTTTTTATTAAACAGTTTAATGAAAAACAGTTTAATAAAAAAAATTTAAACTTGCCTAAAGTTTAACATGTTACATTTTATAACAATTTATAAAATTACCACCCCTCATATTAAACTTACACACAGTTTAATATGTTTTACACATTTTCAATTGATAAATGTATAAAAATTTGATCTTCTATAATGATTAGACTAATATTTAAAAATATAAATTAATATATTTTAGATGAGCAATGAACAATCAACCTCGCGTACCCGCCCAAACTATGTGCCCTTAACCGAAGCTGAGCGCAACAATGAAAATGCGCTTTGGGTGACGCCCCACATGGTTGCGAAGTAAGTAACTATGAATTTTATCTAACGTGAAATAATTTTTTCAATGTATCATAATGTAATCAAAACTTTAATAAATAAATAATCTTAATTTTCTGAAGCGATCAAGAAGTGTTGGACCAAATCAAAGTCATAATTGGAGGACACTTTCTTGGAAACTGGGCAGCATACACAGAAGTAGACCCCAAGGTTCGTGAACTTTGGTGGAACCTTTTCAAGGTAAAAAAATGAATTTTCTCTGCGTAATTGTATTAACGTAACATTTGATAAAAGATAAATTAATTTAATTGTTTTTTATAAAGGGTCGGTTTCGATGGACTGAAGCCCAAGGTCCAGCTATTCTTAGAGCGTATAACGCTAGGATTTCAAATTGGCTTCGTCCTACTTTTAGGCGTGCCCGAACGAGCGGGGTAAAGCCTGGATGGTGTTCGGATGAGGTGTGGGCTAACCTCGTGCGTCACTGGTCTTCTGAACCAAACTTCTTGGCAAGAAGTCAATCCGGTAAGAAAAACCGGATGTCCGAGAAAGCCTTAGAAACCCAATGGCATGGGGGCCGCAAACCTCAGAGTAGACATAAGGAAGATCTTGTAAGTATTTTTCAAAAAACTTTACACAATTACAACCCTTTATTTTAACAATTAATTATGGATCTTAAGCCTTTTTTCCAAATTGTAGTCGGGGCCTGAGAAGAAGAAGGTCTCAATTCTCAAGGTCATCAAGCACTGCTGGACAAAGCACGGCGATGAGTCCGATGCCGATCTGCCACCCCGCCTCGCTGAAATCGAAGTAAGTAACACTATTTTGTTACTTATTTCCATTCAAAATCAAATTGAGTAACATTAAATTAACAATTTTTGTACATGTAGTCAAAGTATAACACAAATGTTGAGAAGAGGCGGGCAGAATTAGGCTTGACTCAGGAGGATGAGATTGATTCTGATGTGGAGGATGATGCCATCTTTGAGGCAGTTGGGGTGTACAAGGGCCGGGTCCCGTGCATGGGGGCTGAGGGGCAACGGATCTTGTACGACCGCAGCGGTGCTTCATCTTCCCGATCAAGGCGCGGAGAGGATCCGCGTATCGCTCAAATGCAGCGGGAGATGGAGGAGCAGCAGCGGGCCTTGGCTGAGCAGCAGCGCACCTTGGAGGAGCAACGCAAAAAAGATGAAGAAACAAGGGCCCGGCTGGAAGAGATGGAACGGATCCTCAGCGCCGGAATTCGGAATCAGCCTCAGCCTCAGCCGTATGTACTGCACCCCGAGCAGACACCTCAAGTTCCGCACATGGGCGGTTATTTCCGTACCAACTCTGCTACCGGGTTGCCTTCATTTGGTTCTATTCAGGATATCAATTTTCACAACCTGTTTCAAACATCTGGAGGCAGCCAAGCAGGTGGCAGTCGCGGAGGTGGCAGTCGCGGAGGAGGCAGTCGCGGTGGCAATCGAGAAGGCCAAGCTGGAGACAACCGAGAAGATGAGACCGAAGAAGATTACCTATATGATGATTCTAGATATTATCATAATGGTAACCGGAGGAGCTTGTAAATGATATACATTTTTATTTGAACATTGTTTATTTACTATAATTCTATTGTGCTTATTATTACTTTTATTTCAGTCTGTTTGGTTATGAAATGTGTGTTCTAGTAGTCTGTTTATTACTTTTATTCTACAAATATTTTTTAAAATAAACTTTTCTAAAGAATAATTAAAAAAAAAAATTATTTTTTTTATAAAACAAAAAAACTTTTTTTTTAAAAAAAAAAACTTTAGTCACGGATCCGAGCCGTGACTAAATTCTAGACCGATTTTGTAAAAAGTTATTTTTCAAATTTAATTTTTTTTTTAAAAAATAAAAAAGTAGTCACGGATCAAGTCCGTGACTAAAATTTGAAATTTGAAAATTTAAACCGTAACATTTGGCGGTTCATTTTTTTAAATTTGAAAGTTTAGTCACGGATTTGTCCGTGACTATATTAGTCACGGAAAAGGCCCGTGACTAAGTCGCCGGTGTGGTTATTCCGGTGACAAGTTAGTCACGGAAACGGTCCGTGACTAAGCCGTGACTACGCTAAGTCACGGATAAAATGACCGTGACTAGAATTAGTCACGCCCAAACAGTCACGGATTTAGTCACGGACAAAGTCCGTGACTAGCGGAGTTAGTCACGGATTTTTTATACTACGGTCCGTGACTAAATCCGTGACTAACTCCGTGTTTTTTTGTAGTGATCTTAATAGACGTTCTCATTCAAATTGCCCTTGTTTCATTCTTATTTCCAGATTTTTTTAAAACTTATTTGTCATTTTTATTATTAGTAAGAGAAGGAATAATAAAAACCCAACAATTTTTTCCTGATGACTCCATTCTGGCTATATGGAATAATTGAAATAGAGTTGGTATATACGGAGTATACAACGTTTTTAAATGTAGATATTTTATTCACGTATAGTTACCTTTATAATTAAAACTACAAGCCTTAGCTAGCTTGTAAAAAAACATTATTACTATAGAAATTGCTAAAAGTAATTTTTTTGAAGGAACTCAAAGTAATTTAATTATTCTTACGTACTATTAAAAAAATAACCACCAATAACTTTTTTTAAAGGTTAATTAAGATTCGATTGAAACTAGCTTGAGTTTGGGGTTTGTTCCTTTGCATTTCATCATTAATGACGTTTTCCACCGCTTATATATTAGGATTAGAAGGGAGGTCGAACCAAGTTTGCTAAATAAATCATTATTGTTGGCGTAATATATTGTTATTATACCTGAAAGCGAATTATAAAATCGCACGTACATTTCAACCTACCTATAAAATCACACATTGTAAAATCATTATTGTTAAGTGTAAATATTCACTATGATTACAGTGGGCGATGTCTCATATTCTATTTCTTCATTTGATCCTTCATCATCTTCCTCTCAACAGGTGCCTTTAACATTTTGACAATTTTAATTTTTAGTTTTGTTTCTTAGAATGCACATACATTAATTAATTTGTAAGTTTACTTGAAGGAATACGGAGTGTATGTAGGGCAGATAATTTCTCTTTTCTAAATAAATCTCAATCACATAGTTTTCATTTTTCAAACTTCAAATTAGGCAATGATTGAACGAAACAAATAATATTACTGCGTATTATGTAAGGTTAAGCGCAAGATCAATGTAGATTAAAAATTAACATGGTTATAACTTTAGTTTAAATATGAATTTATCATATGATAATCTATATATTTTTTCTAATAAAAGTAAAACTCATTCAGTCATAAAAAATAGTTAATTAATTAAGTAGTCAATAAGAATACTCAGTTTTATCTGCTCTACAAATATATTTGAGGATTGATTTTTTGGTCAAACACGCGTAAAACTACATTTAAAATATACTAAAAGTATGATATCAAAACAAAAATCTTAATGTATAAAGTACTTTCAGAAAATGTCCACCAAACTTCTAAGTTATATTTCATTTGAAGATGTGTGCAGGGAGCGGATCAGGTACAAACTATGTTAATTATGCAAACGTTTTTAAGATACATCTTTACGTTATTCAGCCACAAAATAGCAATTGCATATCAACGTTCAAAAAGTTGCATCATAAAAAAAATTGTTTTTATTACATACAATAGTGTCAACTCATAGGATGATCAAAAAGAGTTTGTAGTTTGTAAATTAAAAAGGGTTGTATTTGATCTGTATTATACATATAGAGAGAGAGGGAACTTGGATATAAAAAAAAAAGTTTTAACGTGTAAAATAAAAATTAATCTCAGCAGTCCAAAAAGTCAATATATACACAACAATAACCCTTATCTAAGGGCATCCCCATCCATAAATTATTTTTGGGATCATTTTGATGATGTGGAGGATTTTTTTTTGGGATCATGGATGAAGAGTTGAGATTATTTTATAAGATTATTTGATAAAATAATCTGGTATCAAATTCTAAAGTTGAATTATTTTGAAATTATTTCCAACTTTTAGACTCCTCTCTCCATTTACTCTATAAGATTTGTTTTTTTTTAGTTCTTTCGTCTTTTTCCATTGTTTTCATTTTTATTTGTTTTCTTCCACAAGAAATATTTCCTGACATTTCTTTCTAATGATTTCAGTAGATTATCTTGACTCGTAAGTATGCTCATTTTTGGAAAAAGTTAGGAAGGTAATTGATAATATTGAAACTTTTATATTGAGAGAAATCACAATTTTAGTCCTGTAGTTATTGCTCATATTGCTCATATTGATACCAAGTATTACTCTTAGAGGCCGTTTGATAACACTGTTTTTCGGCTTATCAGCCAACTTTTTCACCAAGCACGTAACTTTTGTTTTCGCGCGCTGAATTATGTAATAATAAGAAAAAATACGGTTGAAGTTACTTTTCTTGCTGTATTGGCTGAAGTTACTAAAGATGACCATTTTAGCTATTTTTACATATAATTTTTTTTCTTTATTTTATTAATAAAATATATTTTAAAGATTTTTTTTTTCAATCAGCAGAATCAGCCAATGCAGCCGAATCAGCCGATTTTCGTGTTACCAAACGGACTCTTAAAATTGAGTTACCATCGTTAAGTATTTGAAATATTGACACAATTAAGGTTGTAACTTTAAACTCGGTAAAACAATACACATTTTGTACACATTTCTTAAATTCTTCGCAAATTACAAACTAGGTAAAAAAAATTGTACACTTTTTATGCACATTTTTAAACAAATCGTATCAGCAATTTTACTCCATTTAATTTGGCCATAGACAAATTAAAACGTCGATTGGAGAAGTCAAACTTTAATGACAACAAATGTCCACGATATAAAAAAATTGTACATTTTTAGCCACACATTTCTCATTTATTAAAGTGGAATTTTCATATTGATATTTTTTTTATTTGTTCTCTAATTTAACAAATAAAACTATTGGCACCGACATTTTTTTGTGTATATTTGTTTGTATGAAAATTTTGAATGTGTAAAACATTTCATAATTTTGTTGTTGTATGAAACTCTTGTGTATCTATTTCAGACATTTATTATCTATAAAGTTGAATTTTTTTAAACAATTTTTTTTTTATCTGTGGTCTAACTTTCCAATTGAAAATGCGATATTGTAAGTGTGAAAGAATTTGAAAATGTGCACACAAGTACACAATTGAGTTTTTGGAAGGACGCATAATTAATGCAACAAAAACAAAAGGCAAATCATGTTTTTATTTGAACTAAAAGAAAATAGTACTGATTGTTCAAATCTCATTTGATCTAGTTTAATAAACATTTGATTTTTGTGTATTTTACTATTATATATGTTTGAGCTGATATTAGGATGTTTTTATTTGGACTGTTATTTTCTGGTCTGGTCTGATATGTTTAAGTCTGGTCTGAATTGGTTTGGTCTAGTAAATGTCTGGTTTCTGTGTATTTTATAACTATAATATTCAGGCCTGATCTGGTCTGGTCTGGTTTGTTTAAGTCTAGTCTGGTCTGGTCTGGTCTGGTCTGAAACTGAAAGTAGTCCAAGAAAGAACACCCTTATTTGTTTAAATCTGAAGTTGTCTGGTTCGCGATGGAAACTAATTCAACTATATTTATTCCAATAAAGAAGAAAAAAGAAAAAGCTAAAAGAACACTAAAAGCAAAAAGAAAAGGGAAATGCAAAAAAAAAGATAAAAATGAAAACAACGTGTAGGGGAGAACCGGAGAATACAACATGTAATTTAGATAAAAGAAAAAAGAAAAAATAGAATGGGGGTTGTAGACTTGTAGGGGGGAACAGGAAGGAAGTGAAGTAAAGAATAAAGAAAAGAGAATAAGAAAGTGGATGACCCGTTAATACAGGTTGCTATTAGGTCATGAGGCCTGGTTGATGGATTTTTTAGAGTAGATATGTCTATGTGATCCTTTTTTAAATAGAGGGGTTTAATTGATTTTTTTTGTAACAGTAGAAGAGCTTATTTGATCATTTTTCTTAGAATATAAATTAATTAAAGTTGGGGAGCCATTTTTGTGTTTCTCTAAGCAGGGGAAAGATATCTTGAGGACACTAATGCAAAATCCTGGTTTGAAACGTGTTTCTTTTGCATTTGATTACACCCCGGGAGGTCTATTTTCTCTTACCAATAATGGTGGTTTCTTGATTACACCACAAACTAAATCAGTCTTTATTCTTCAAAAAGAGTATGCCACTGTCGATCCTTCATTTGTTGACGTAAGTTTTACATCTTCTACCCCATCTTATGTTGCTCATGAAAAATTAAAATGTTTTCGTACATTGTTTGAAAGGAAAAATGCCAATCTATATTAATGTAATTAATGAAAGTGGAAGAACTAAACATGGAATTTTCAAATACGGTATCACAAGTATCTTTCACATAATAGTCGATGGACTAAAAATGGAAAAAGTCAAAATCGAGTATCAAGTGTTAGTAACATAATAGTCGGAGTACTAAAAGCAACAAATACTCTTACTAACACAGATCATTTCTCATAATATGACTAATTAATGAGATTTCCCATAATATGACTAAACCAGTTACCTATTGTAATTCATAATAATAAGATTTACCATAATATGCCTCTTACAAATGGATATATACGTGCACAACCATATCATTTCCTACTATTTTGGAATACACGCTTCCATCTAAAACGTAGGAGCTGTGGGATTAAAAATGTTAGTAATAAATACTCATGCACGTACCCGCACGGGTAGCTCAACTGGTAAAGCGGTGAGAAAGTTGGACAAATAACCAAGGATCAAATTCTGCAGACTCCGTGTGGAGGTCACAGCTCCTATGTGCTGGACTGGGACTCTGGTGCGCACAGATATAAGGTTTATCACTGTTAAGATTGGTTGAGTCACCGTGATTTAAAATCTCCCATGTGCTCTGTCTGATCGGGTTGGGGCGTGGGGGCCTTGCCGCCTTGGGTTAGGGATTCAACGTTTTTAGACAAAGTTGGACAAACTCATGCACATATTATTGTTTTAGACAAAGTTGGACAAACTCATGCACATATTATTGTGAGAAAAAAACTCATGGACGACATTGGGAAATGATTTGGTGTTTTAATCATATATGAGAGATAATTTTCTCAAAAGTAATCAAGTAATGGAATTTTCACTTTTGCATTTTTGGGAATCTAAAACTTACACTACTGTTTCAACTTTTACAATGCTTGGAATGAATAAGGTAGAATGGAACCTTAAAAATAATTACTTCAACTTTAAAGTTTGAAGTTGATTAATTAAATAAGGTAGTTTGTGAACTGTAATATTGATTAATTACAGGATCGAATTTGCAAGTGACTAAAGTTGCGGGACTAATAATGAAAATGACCAAAAGTTACCTGACGAGAATTACAATTTTCCCTACTCCTCTTCATCTTATATATATATATATATATATATATATATATATATATATATATATACACACTTCATATATTAGCTGCTTAGCTAACAGTGATACTTTCTTGTTGATATGTGTATGAAAAGGTGGTTGGCACTCACGGTATGTCAACCTGTGTAGGTCTCATCATTCAAAACCCTAAAAGTGGAAAGTAAGATCCAAAACTTACTTAACTTCAGCTTACTGTAAATATATTGAATTGGAGATAGCTAGTTTCATGTCAAATTGTGTCAAGCTAGTAAATGTCTGTATATCCCTAAATGTGTTATTTAAATTTCATATGCATTATATATTTGGTTGCAGGATATCTGTTGCTCATATAGATGTGCTAGGTGTTATTGAGCTTGGGATAAACCAAATGTTGTCTTCCGTTGATGATCAAGATATCAATGACATGACCAATTTGAATGTATGAATTAACTCCTTCAATATATATTTATGAGTATAATACTACATCTACTCCATAATGTAAGGTACATGTGAGTTTGGTACGAATGTTAATAAAATAAAAACTAAAGTACTTCGTTTTACTGGTATATCCTCTAAAAAGTAAAAAAGAGTAAGATGAGTATACAAAAAGCAAAAGGTAAAATGATATATAAATGCAAACATAAAGTAGAGAAGTAAAAAGTTAGTGAAATTCAATTAAGGAAAATGTTATATTTTTCAGACAATGCTAAAAGAAAAATACATCTTAATTACCAGATGGGATAGAGGGAGTATATATTTACATTTGTGTATGGTATATGCTAAATAGATCACAAAAGTTTATTATATTGAATTAACCTTCCAAGGATATGATGAATGCAGGTGCATTTAATTGGTGGTTACAATGATGAACCAGAGTGGGCAAATGTATGTCATATGACTAATTGAGTTGCACGTCTCCTATCTTTGTTCCATAAATTTTCCCTGAATTTATCTTTTTTACGTCCCTAATTTTGTCTCAAGTTACATTTGATAATATCTTAATGATGAAATTCATTATTACCTTGTTCACACTTGATCAATTTAATATCAATCGTCAATTCAATTTTTCTTAATAACTATATCACTCACTTTTGTCTCAAACTTTGAGGACTAAGGTAAATAGATAGTATATCATAAACTAATTTTTATATAATACTCCGATCCAGACAAAATGTACTCGGTAATTAAACCAATAATAATACTTAAATGAGTACATACTAGAAGAGTTTGAAGCCTTGAATTTCACCCTCCTTTTATGAATAATGCACTACTTTGATATCATGATTGTATATAACTATGAGTCTAAACCATAAGAAAGTTTGAAAATTTACGAATTGAGGCGATTTAAGAACATTTTATACGAAAGTTTAATTTCAAGTTTATTCCGCACACAAATATTAAATTTCAAAGACGATGAATGAATGATATATTAATCAGTGCATCTTATATGTGATATATTATTATATCAACACCCATCATGTGTACTATGTAGTATTTATATACGAAGTATGCTATATATAAGGTAAATGCTACAATACTCATCAAGAAATTAAGGTACCATATTTATTGTCCCAATTCAACATTTATTTGTATGTTTAAATTATTTAATTGCAATATTATAATTGATTCAAGTCGACAACTCGACAAGATAGATAACTAGCTTAATTAAGGTGTGTATCATAGAATTTGTCATGTTATAATCAATCTCTGGATATATTATTATTACGTGTATATATATACGTGCAGCATGAAGATCAGGAAAAGCGAGAAGGAGTGTCTTTCCCCATTTGTTCCAAGATAATTGAAGTTCTGTGCAAGAGCACCAAAACTTTCCATCTTCGAACTTTGCATGTTCTTGATCACAACACAATATATGATGGACAAGGAATAGGCAACCCCAAATTTGGAGGTTTTCTGGTAATTAATTTGAGCACACACATAGGAGCATGGTAGCATATCTCTCTAATTACCCGGCTTTTATACAGGATATTTCCAAAAAAATTACTACAATAAAATAAATTTATATATAGAAATGTAACTAAAGAGACTATATATAAACACTCTTAACGTCACTCCAATGTAAAATTTGAAAATAATTATAGTTATTAAAAGTTACGAAATCATATTTTTGTGTATTATTCATATTTTGATGATATGTAGTAGATATTATTTCCTTATATATAGATATATATTTAGACATATAATTAACTTGGATGAAATGGAATTGTAGTTTAGAAATGTGCATCGACAAGATTCATGCACGTGGTGGTATTATTGTAATAAAATGTGCATTAATTAATATGAACTAGAATATGCATCGTTTTGGATCATTCCAATTTCTCACGGAAAGATCATGAACAATAGAATCAGATTTTATATGTATACACAAGTATATATGTAATGTACGTGCACACATGGTCTGATTCCAGTGGGAATAAATATTCTCGTGAGAAATAAGAATAATGCAAAAAGTCCACATCGAGATCCAAGTTCATGGATTTGCACATTTTTGTATAGAGTTGTGCTAGAGATATCTCATTTGGTACCTCATTTGTACACCCTTCCTATATTTGTGGTTCACAAAAGTCCAACACATTAAATGAATTGCTCCATTTTAATGAATTGCTTTTGTGAACCACAAATATAGGGAGAAGTACAAAATGAGGTACAAATTGGGGTACCAATAGCATTTGTGTTTTGTATATGATAATGAAACTGTTCAACCGTAGAAAAAGTTCACATTATTTACAAAAAAGTCATAGCATTTTTCATTCATGTTTGTGCACAGTTCTATTAGAGAAAATGCACAATTCTCAAGTTCAATGCTTTAGATTTATTCTTATTATTTCTCTCACGAGATCATTGTCTTGTTTGATCCAAATTTCACACAAACATATGCAGGGCCGTAGATGAGGGCGTGCAAAGCGTGCCTTTGCACAGGGCCTCCAAAAATATAAGGCCCATTTTTTGTAAAATCTATATAGTGTGTGTATATATAGGGTAATTATTTTTGGAAATAGTTGATTACTTTATTTGCCCGAACGATCTAACTATTCAGGTTATCCAACCAAAGGTAAAAAATTCACTTTTTCTTATCCTATTTTCATTTGTTCATTTCCGATTTTAGATTTTTTACTAATTTTATTTGTTCAAGTTCAAAAAATTGATCATTTCTCAATCTCACATTTGTTTTGAGTTTTTTTTTGGATTTTCTTAAAGTTATTTTTGGTATTGTATTGATTTAATATAAGGCCTGTTTTTTGTGACTCGCACCGGGCCGGGTCTCCTAATTTATTGAGCCGGCCCTGCACATATGTATACACACACAATATCATATTAGTTTAATCTAGCTTTATATGATCATAAATACATTTTAATTAAATGACAAATGGGCTCATAATAACGAACAAACTAAGATAGCATGGACTTGATTGTCATGGATTGATCGAGTTTGGCACGAATCATAATATATTTTGCATGCCAAATAGCTGGTGAGAAAACGATATTGCTACGAAATTTGGCACAGATTTGACAATTCCATGCCAATTGCCAAATACTATGTGAACTTTTTCCAAATCCGTGGACAAGGCTATGCCAGAATCATTGTTTTTTTGTAGTGGCAGTTTTGACTCTATCGTTGGCTCACTCATGTGCATATTTTCATATTCAACCAAGGTTGAAACGGGGGTTGGGTCAATATTTCCGGCCAAGTTTGATGAAACCACAAAAGGTCCAGATGAAATGGTTAGAGAAATTCGGAGACTATGTTGCGATAATGACCCAAGGTGGGAGGGTAGGTTGCTCGACACTTATGATAATCTATCAGACCACTATGTTATTGCTCCTTGCTCTTGGTACGTACCTAAATTACCAACCTTGATTGATTGAATAAATTTTCTAATGGGAAAAGGGGCAAATAAGCCCTCGAACTAATCAAAAAAGTGCAAATAAGCCCTTTTGTAGGAGGTTTCGTCTGTCTATCGTCATTTGGGGAGGTTCTCGGTGGAATTTTTTGATGAATTTTTTTGAGCATCTTCTTCATGAAGTCTAGTTTAGCCATACCAAATTTCAGCTAAAAAGTCAACCGGTAAGGCACTCAAATGATTTTCGGAACTACACTGCGTTGTTTAACTGCGCAGTTATCTTAAAAAATTCATTTAACTGTCTTCCCGATTGATTTTTTAGCTGAAATTCGGTATGACTAAACTAGACCAAATGAATAAGATGCTTAAAAATTTTCATAAAAAAATTCCACTGGGAACCTCCCCAAATGACGATAGACAGACGAAACCTCCTACAAAAGGGCTTATTTGCACTTTTTTTATTAGTTCGAGGGCTTATTTGCCCCTTTTCCCTATTTTCTCTAATACATACACACATATATAGGGAAGAGTTCAAATAAAAAGTATTCTTCCCGTACAAAGTGCGAAAATTGCACTTTTACACGTTCCGCTTGTACTTTTACTTGTTTTCGTTGCACTTTTTCACGGTGGCGAAAAAAATTGGTTTATTTACAAAACTATCACCGTGGTTTTGGCCGAATGTTAGAATCTCACACCGGAAAAATTTGAATCTGCAAAGTGCTATATTAAGATGTGAGCTACTCCTCCTATAAGCTAAGATTGACCTTTTAGGATGGAACCCGTGTCTTAACATGGTATCAGAGCCAAATCGATCCATGGTGTGGGCCCCTTATGAAAAATGACGAAAAAAACGACAATGACGACACGATCCAGACGAAGTGTCTGGTCGTAAGGCGCAGAGGAGGGGTGCTAGAATCCCACATCGGAAAAATTTGAATCAACAAAGTGCTATATTAAGATGTGGGCTACTCCTCCTATAACACCGAATTTACGTACCCAAAACCGCAAAGGCGAAAAAGTGTTACGGAAACACAAAAAAGTGCAAGCAAAACATGTAAAAGTGCAATTTTCACACTTTGCGCGGGAAGAGTACTTTTTATTTGAACTCTCCCTATATATATGTGCGCGCGTGTGCATATATTTGTGTGTCACAATGGATGTGTGTTATGTGTATGACACGATATTACATAGATAAAAAACAAATCATGCACCCTTTATTTTAATATTTGTTTAAACACAACATCACCATTATTGTATATCTTTTACACGTGGACTAAACTAACACTTAAATAATTGTTTTATATAGATTAATTAAAGTGCACTACTTACTAGGATATACGTTGTATGTTTATAATTTCATAAATAAAATTTATTTGACCGTGAAAAAGGAAAACAATTTTCTTAAATTTATTTTGTAAACTTATTCAATTATTAGGAGTGAATTGAATAAATTGATGGTTCTATTTGTACACTAGCTATGTATTTCGTAAACTTAGCTTGTTCCCTAAACTTATTCAATTTTTGTTTTAGTCCTATTTATTTAAAGGATTTTCTCATTAAAAACATATACTTTAGGCTTTAGCTAATACCATTTGTTTTATACAACTTCTCAACAATAACTATTTAAGTAAGAGTTGATAATATATACAGGGTAGCTATGTATGAGTGACATTTTTAACTCTCAATTTTTTTTTTCATTTGTAGTCCTTTGACCATTGTGTCAAAGACACTTGTAGTCATCGAATTCAAAATTCCCTAATTTAGTATCGTCAAATTGACATTTTAGTCCTTTCACTATTATTTTGCCACAAGAAGTGAAAGGCTAAAAATGTACTATGATAATAGTTGAATGATCAAAAGTGTGACTTTTATGAAAGTGAAAGAACTAAATATAGGGAATCTCTGAGACAGATATCAAAAGTGTTTCTCGTACAATAACCAAGAAACTACAAGTGAAAAAAGTTCAAAGTCAAGTACCAAGTATCAAAGACGTAATAGTTGAAAGAGGACTAAAAGTTGCAAAACATATGTTCAGATGAGTCCATTTGAAGGGTTTTGATCTCGTTAGAAAGATCCTACTGGGTTCTAAAACTTATATTCAGACTACATTTACAAATTATTAAAAGTGTGTAAAAAAAATTCACTAAATACTATTACTCATTTAATTAATAAAAGGGGAGATTAGTATAAGAATTATTTACATAAATGTTGTTTACAAAAACATGACCTCCTAAGTACAATAGTGATCATAATAGTAATTCAATCAAGGTAACTTTACTCTACTTTTAGACTTAAGTTACTATGAGATCATAGTAATATACGTAACTATTAGTTATATATATTTTTGTAAATAAGTTTCATTTCAGTAATATTTTGAAAAACAGTTGTAATGCTCGTCAGTTTTGTGTATTCATTTTATTATGATTTGTTGGACCATCTTATCGATCAGTTTGACAATGTCAAGTATATTTAATCTGCTGGCTATTCAGTTAATTTCCCTAATATTTGCTTCATTATTTCGTTACTAGGGGAATTAAGGGAGCAGAAGGATTTGGATGGTTTTTGAGTCTATCTGATCGAGAGTTTGCCGATAACTATTATTTCACACCTCCAGCTGTCTTGAATCTTAACGAAATCAATTATTTAAGAGGGTAGGTAAATAAGATGCATTTTTAGAATGCAATATGCAAGTACCTATATTCAATAAAAAGAATATATTAGAAATTCTAATGTTTTAGATAATGTTTCAAAAGTATTATACTACGTATAAACTTTGTGCATATTCTCATATGACGTTCAAACATATATAAGCAAGATCAATCAAACTTAATTCATCTTATATTTAAATAAATCATAAACGACAGAGAGAGTCTAACGTTCAAGAGACAAGTATGCAAAGAATTTTAAAACATTTTTTGAACTACATTTAAAAAATTATTGATAACCGCAAATGCAGCGGCGTACGTAGGAATTTTTGGTAGAAAGGGTGACAGTGTAAAAAAATACATACAAATACATATATATATTAAAATTTTGGGATGAGTATACCGAGGAGAAAAAATGGGGTTAGCGGCCCCTATTTGCCCCTGTACCAAATAAAACTCTTTGTTTAAAATATACTCACTACATCCCATTATACATTTCATACTTTCGTTTTTGAGGTTTCTGAAAACAGGTGTCATGTTTCCTTTTTTAGAAAACATATATGTGGCCCACCGCATTTACGTTCGATCATAACTTCTACTTTATCAGTATTTTATTGATAATTGTGTCAAAAAAATATACTTCGTATTAATAATTGTGTCAAACCAAAACAAGACATATAAAATGGGATGAAAGCAGTATTATACTACATCCGTCAAAATTTACAGAAAAACTCAGAAGAATAAAAGGCAACATAGCATGAGAACCAGATCTCAATCCAGAGATTTCCCGTGGGACTAGTTATTTTTTAGATGTTTCCACTGTTTTTCCTTTTGTGCTGCTTTTCTTTCCTTTTTCGTCACTTTGTACTGTTTTTCCCTTTCCTTAAAAAAACTACATCCGTCACACTAACATTGGGATATGAGGAGGTCATACAGTTATTAGGAAAAGTGAATTTTTAGAATGTATTAAGTAAAATTAAAGATAAAAATTATTTAGAACCACACATACTTTACCAAGTTTGTTATGAGACAATCAGGATAGATCGAAGAGAAAAGATTAGACAATCTTAACGGGACAGAGAGAGTATTTTAGAATAAATAAAACTCGAAGTCGATCCCAAGTCAAATCAAGTTATATACTACGTATTTTTACTAGACTAGATTGTTTTATACTACGTGTATAGCTTGACTTGACGTGTGTTCGGATTAGAAAAAATATGGTGTATATAGTTGAATGCGATGTTTCTTACGATTGGATCTAAGCTAGAGAGTCGAGCTCGTCTAGCTTAATTAACTTCTACATTTCCTCACACTTTTCTTATGCCCCTCCATCCCAATTTAAAAGGTCTCCTTTGACTTTCACACAATTTAAAAATGTGGCACTAGTTGACATTATTTGGCACACTATTGTTTTGGAGGAAGACACCGTCGGTGATGAATAGGAGCAAAGATAAAGTGTTGTTTTTATTTAGTACTAGTTGGAATAACTATTTTTATTATACATTCTTAACTTGTGTATTTTTCTCTTAGAATATTTGGCTATATTTTCAACAACCCAGAATGGAAAAAAACATTTCCAGGCGGACGCCCTCGAGTATTTGCAAGAACCGATTGTGGGGGTTGGAAACAAAAAGAAGAAAAAATGTCCCAAATATTTAAGAGATCCGCCAATTAGATGGAAAAGGATGTACCATGATATAGCCTAATAAGATTTACTTTCATTTTCTGTCACAAAAATAATAATTTACTTGCTGAAGAATCTCATGCATGTATGTAATTGTCATGTTTAACGCATAGGTAAACTTGCATTTGCAAATGTGTTGCTTCTGAGTGGAGAAATTAAACTCTTTCTCATCATTATGCTTGACATTTAATATAGAGTGCTATTGATATTACTATTGTGATTTATGTCCTTCTTGATTAAACTTAATTAAAATATAGAAAAACTTCATCAAGAATATACGGAGAAACTCTACTAAGATTCCTTGCATTCTTGATATATTAAGTTCAAGACTCGAAAAACTTAATCAAAACTATGCAAGAAATCTTTGTCCAAACTTCTTTCTTTCTTGATAAACATGTTGATCGGAGAATTTTATAAATACATATGGAAAAACTCGGAGTTTATTCTCCTTACTATTAAGTAAACAATGTGTATGAAATATACTTAAGGAGCGTATTCAATCGCCCTAGATCACCGGAAAATACCTCCTTACCCCCATTTCCGCAATTTCTTGTTATTTCTTGAATCTTGATTTTCTGATGAGCTAGCTTATAGGATTTTCTAAAGGTTATTCTGTTTGTTTCAACTCTCGAGGACGAAGAAATAAGGGGGAAGAGCAACATGTGGAGAAGAAAGAAGGGAGGAGGTGAGGTGAGACCAAAAAGTAAAGGAAAGAGCAAAATAGTTGAATTAGACATTATGTGATGGACCAAAAATATAATTCCTGCTTTGACCCTCACACATTTTTATGCAAAAGTTAATGTGCTCTTGACTTTCCCTAATTGTCCTCCCCTCCCACGTGTTGCCCAAACTGTGAAAACAAAAGTGAAGAAAAAGGGGCTACATTTCGATAACAACAATCACATAAAAGGGTAACAAACTTTACAACTCATTCGGAGGTTAATGCTACAAAGTGCAACAGTACACCAAAGTTCAATTCCCTCCATTTTTATTCCTTAAATTCCTACAACTACCTTATCTGACATCATTTACTACCCATAGATCTCTCTTTGGCTCTCTCTCTACAAATTGAGGCTCCTGCAACTTCCTCAAATCCAATTGCAACTTCCTCGGTAGCCTCTGCAACTATTACTCCTGTTGTACCTGCAAAATAAACAAATGAAGGATGTCAAATTGGAACAAGTAGGTGGTCTAAACTAAGTAATGCACAAAAAAATAGTTTGGTGGAAACGCTTTTAGCTCATTTTCATAACGAGAAACTTCAGAGGGGCATTGTGAGAAAAATAGCTACACAATTCAACTGTTCTAGACATACAATTAATAAATTGTGGGATCGTGCTCACAGTCAGCTCAATGATGGGATCCTAATTAATGTGCGAAGTCAATATACGTGAAATGTGGGAAGAAAACAGTTGTTTTTTACTTAGGCAAGTTAACATTCCACTACATCAAAGAAAGAACATTCAATCTTTGGGTTATGCCCTAGACATGTCACAGTCTAAAGAGACATTCCAATGCCATAAAGCCATTCCTCACACATGCAGAAAAAATCAAAAGGTTACAGTTCCGCCTGTCTCATTTGGTGCCTAGACCTGTGCCCTTAAACTCCATGTTTCATCATTTTTATAATTACATTCACATAGAAGAAAAGTGGTTTTTTTTTATCAAAAGAAACCACAACATACTACACGCATCCCAGTGAGCTAGACCCCTATAGATCTGCTCAATAAAAAAACCAAAATAGTGTTTTTAGCAGTTTTAGGTCGGCCTAAACTTGGGAACAATGGGGCTGCTATGGGATGAAAAGATTTGTATCTTTCCATTCACATATGAGGAAAGAGCAAAGCGGGCTAGTAAAAATAGATCAGCAGGCACTTTAGAGACAAAATCCAAAATTAAGTGTAACCAGAAATGTTATCAAGGAGATGATGCTACACAAAGTCCCACTAGCAATCATAATTCAACAAGACTGCCCGACCACACATTGATATGAATGATGCAGAATTTGTGGAGTCGGCAACTGCAGATGACTGGAACATAAAGCTAACTTTCTAGCCACCTAACGGCCTAGACATGAATGTCCTAGACTTAGGTTTTTTCGTGCAATTGATTCACTGAAAGAACTAAAATCCCCCTAAAACAATTGTTGAGTTTATCGAAGCTGTGAGAACGGCTTTTGATGAGGTCACAACTTATACTTTGAAGAATGTGTTCTTAAGGTATCAGTGTGTGATGGAACAAATACAGATGCACAAAAGTGAAAATCAGTTTAAACTAAAACATGTTGATAAGGATAAGCTTGACACACAGGGGATGTTACCACAGAAGATGAACAACAACCCAGCATTAATGGATGAAGCTAAGGAGAATCTCATACACATGCAAGCACAAGGGCGAGAAACACAGGAGATATACATGCAAAGTGAAGGGCTAGAAACTCGGTTCATAATTGAAGATGAGGGTCATCTTCAATAATGAACTCGACAGGTTTTTTGTATGTACACTAGTCAAGGGATTCAAGGGACAACTTTTTTGTATATAGGGAAAGTGTACATTTTTTTGTATGTACACAAGTAACGGGACAACTTTTTTGTATGTACACTATCAAAGGGACAACTTTTTTGTACGTAGAGGAAATGTACAATTTATGTATGTACTATTATGCATGCCTAGCCTACGTTATCTAAATGTAGGGGCGGTGTAGTATCTTTTGTTCAAATTGTTGTACACTTATTGACAGTCATGTATGCATTCAAGTCAATGGTAACAATCTAACTCTACACATATGCACATACATTGGCTTATACAGTAGGACCAGTAGGACCATCATCAGTTTACTCATTCAGTAACCACACAACCCCCATCACCATCAGTAGAACCGGTAAGGTAAGTACAAAACATCATCATCATCATCATCATCATCAATACAAGCAGTATGGTAACCACACATGACCAATGCTTCATCAGACAGTAAGGTAAGCAACACAAGGCCAACACAATTACTGAATTACATAGCCTCCGGACATATACATAGCCTCCTACACTTGGAGAAAGTGGGTGGCAAATGTTAATAAGGCTCACACAATTACCATCATGCGTACAACCAGTAAGGTAAAAACATAAGGAGAATCGTGTACAAGCAAAAATAAGGTAATTTCATCAGTTAAGCAACGTATAGACAATGCAACACCACAATAATTCATCATTTGTCAGATTAAGTAGGCAATAACCACAATTTGTGATGCGAAATGTGCAAATACAAACGAAATACACATATGTAAGGAATACAAAGACTTCCCTTAAGTAGAGTCCCAAAATACATCCGCATAGAGATCTTGAAACATAGCGTCGAAGGAGTTCATCTCCTTGCCTCTTCCTTTGAATTTGGAAACTCAACGCAGTGGGATCCATACCTCTTCCAGGGGTTTCAAACCAAATCTGTTTCCGATTATGTAGTCCACCCACATGCACGGTCATATTCTTCATCGTCGTCGGTGTGTTCGACGGATACATCTTTATAAACGGTGACCGAATCTTTTTTGAAACCATAGAGGTTAGAGTTTGTTACAAGTGGATGGCCATGGAAAAGGGATAGTCGTTTGGAGTCTGAGTTAGAAGAAACTAAGTTTTGGTTGATTGGTTGAGCAGAAACTAGTTTACGGTTCTACCTTTCTCAAAACTAAACCAACCTAAATTCAACCAATGAAACCGAAAAATGACAAAACCAAACCGATGAACACCCCTGCTCGAATGACAATGTAGGTAGCTCTACATCATGTTAGATAAATATTTATCTCCCAACACACTAAGCTAATATTACAAAAAATGGAAGGAATACTAATATTACAACAACATCCAAAAGCCTTGGTTCAAAAGATTTTGGGGTCCTCTAATATCGTCATCAAAAGGAAAAGAAAGATAAGAAAAATAAAAAGATAAACTATGATTTGGAAAAGAAAGATAAGAAAAATAAAAAGATAAACTATGATTAAAAAAAGAGATAATATAAAAAGAGATGGATATACATAAAAACGATAGAATAAAAAGGATAAAAAGAATAAAAAGGACAAAAACAAAAGGATAAAAACATGCTATTAAACTAAAACCCGCAAGCATTCTCAAGCGTGACTCACTGATGTGGAACTCACAAGTTTCAACCATTGGCTTAGCTGGGGGGGGTGGGGGGTCAATCTGGGCCCCAACACACTCTGACCGAAATTTGGAAACAGACTTATTTTATCACTTATAAGTGTAAAACAAATAGACTCGCTCCAAACTCAAATCATTGAGGCTCCTAGGCTCCTGGCTATGCCTATGCTTTCAACATACAACTTAATACTACCAATAACAAATGCACTCTTTATATAAAATTTAGAAAGAAGGCTAGTAATTTGTTGTCTGGGTGATCTAAACTTGAATGAATGTTGTCGAGATTCTCAAGCGTGACTCACTGATATGGAACTCACAACATTCAACCATTGGCTTGGCTGGGGGGGGGGGGGGGTCAATATGGGCCCCAACTCACTCTATGACCGAAATTCGGCAAAAGACTTATATATCACTTATAAGTGTAAAACAAATAGACTCGCCCCAAATTCAAATCATGGAGCGTTTTGGGCTCCTGGGTATGCCTATGCTTTCAACATACAACTTAATACTACTATTTACAAATGCACTCTTTATATAAAATTTAGAAAGACTGAAGTAATTTGTTATCTGGGTGATGTAAACATGAATGAATGTTGTCAGTTAGCTAGCATACAAAACTCATTTAAAATTGTGCTCAAGTACATAGGCTTTCACTATGCTTCACACTCCAGCCCATGTTTCCTTATATCGAGATCACGAGATGTTCCACATTCCTTGTTGGGATAAGAATTAATTCCATTTTCATCAAACAAATCGGTCTTTGCAGCTACACAGCTCCTTTTAAATGTACCCATACATGCTTGGACCAATGGATGTACAACTTCTTTAAGCTTTCCATAAACCCTCTTAGCACAATCCCTTATACAAGAGACTTAGAATCTGAGCTTAACTTTAGCTCGAACGTGAAACTTTCAGAAACTTTGACTGCACTAGAACACAGACAATTGAAGTGTTAGGGTGTTTTTAATTGAATTAAAATTTTCTGATTTGGTCTGAAATCTCAACTAGAGGGGTCTGGTAGATCTCTATTTTATGTCATTATGTGTATTTTACTATTCTCCGTGTTTGCTATAGTCTGGTTTGATGATCTTGTCTGGGACCGAAATCATTCCAATTAAAAACATTCTTAGTACCCACACACTCATTACTTCAACTTGGTGCCCACACAAGCATCCTCAACTTTAACTTAACTTTTCTTCACTTTTTTTTTCTAAATTTTCCTCCTCTTCATCAAAACTTTTTCCCCCTCTATCTTCTTCCAACAAGTTTTGAACTTTTTCCGCCGCATGTCAAATTACTCAATAATAACCAAACTTTTAACATCATGTCATCGGATGGGATCTTACTTTTAAAAAGCATGGGGCGGCGTTAGGCGTTTTGGGTCAATTTACCCGAGGCATCAGGCGTTTTGTTAAACTAAGGATGGGATGGGATTCTACTGGTATGGATTCTGAGATGAGACAGTTGTCAAATAACTGGTAAGTGATCAGAACGTGGGATTGAACATGAACTGTCCCAAGGACACAGCTGCAGCCATAGGGAGAGAAACACTCGACCAACATCCTCTCCAACACTGGACAAGGCAGGGAGCCAAGCAGTTGAATTAAAATAGACTTGCTCTTTTACTTTCTTGCTTTAGCGATTTATCAGTCAATCATTATTCATTACTAGTTGGTGATTATATTCTTAGCTGTGAACGTGTCAAGTATGCCTTTTTATGTGGGGTTCTTTATTAGTTTCATATTAGCAGGTTACTTTCCTAGTACTTGCACTTGAGTCGACTTTGTATTCTCCATTTATAAAAAAAATGGATTTTTTTAATCCAGAACCCGAAAGATCCGGCACAATTCAAGAATGACAAGGGAAAACTGAAAAAATGAAGTCAACCATATACACTGATCTCATTCTAGTTGATGGCTCATTTTTTGTTTTTTGGCTGGACTTTCTAGTCTTTTATAGTATATGATGTTAAATGCCAACATCCTTGGCATGAATTTGTTTCGAACACGTGACCTCCTTGGGAGTGTCACAATGACCTCCTCCTTGACTGTGGTGCTTGGCTTAATGGCTCCCTTTATAATCACCATTTAAAAAAAAAGAACATATATAGTACTAAAGATGAAACTGTGAACAATCATAGATTGAAGGCAGCAATATTATCATTCCACAAAATGTACAGAGTATGAATTAACACATACCTGAAACTCAAAGAATCTTGAATTCATCTCAAACTCAGAATTAAGACATACCTGATCACATCATATACAAAACCATCATCACTACAATGCTGCATCAACCATCAAAGTATCGCCATCAGCATCGTGCATTGGATCAATAAACCACCCACTAATATCATCAAAATCAGCCATTCCAATTATTGCTAGCCACCTCTCCAATTCAGATTCAGCCATACGAATAGCTTCTATTTCCGCCACAGCGAATCCCCAATTGGAGTGGAGCGGTTTCTCAGATTCTTCATTGGGTAATTTTCTCCGACATAGAGGGCATGTTTTGCTGCGATCCAGCCAAGGAGCAATACAGTCCTTGTGGAAGAAGTGTTCACAGGGGAGTTGACTAGCTCCGGTGCCGGGCTCAAACTCGTCCATACAAATAGAACACGAAGCGGAATCGGCGACCTCTACAACGGGCAGTCTGTCGACAATCGGTTTGAGAGTGGAGGGCGGGGAGGTACTAGACGAGAAGAAGTCAAAAAACGAGTCTTCCCGTTCCGGATAAGGATAATTGGAATAGAAATCGGAATCGGAGTCGAGGAAATCCAGAGCTTGAGAGTTGGAGGGAAGGGGCTGAGGAATAGGAGGGTTGATGGAGGAAGCAATGGTCGGAGTGGGGGTCGAGGGTGTGGTGTGGGGAGGGAGGAGGTGGCGGTGGTGACAGCGTGGACAGCTTAAGGGAGTGGCGGCGGCGGCGGTTGTTATGATGGGGTAAGAATAGCTGCAGCGGTAACATCGGTAAGAGCGGGTGTGGGAGGAGGATGAGGCGGCGTTGATGGTCTCGGTCGACATCACCTGTACAGGGGTGGGATCATCGATTTCTTCTGGACGGCCAGTCGGCAGCTTTTTGCTGGGCGGACCGACAATCCCGGTGATAGTTGGGGCAATTTTAAATCCATTGCTTGTAAGGGGTGTTTGGAACTGATTCTGCTTCTGCTTCTTTTTTTAAAAGTAGAAGTAGAATCAGAATCAGTTTTCAGAAGCTGGTACCCCACAGCTTCTAAAAAAACTGATTCTGAGAGTAAATTAGAGCTCCAGAAGTGCTTCTGGAATTTCACCCAAACACTCCAGCTTCTGCTTCGAATCAGTTTTGAGAATCAGATCCAAACACCCCTAAATTGAATAAGAAAAAAAAATACGAGTAGTTTCAATTAGGGATGAGCACGGTTCCAATCATTGATAAATTTTTTAAATCACTGGTTCCATTAAGAGATAGATTCGATCCGAATATACCAAATTTCAAGGGTATTTCTAAATGCAGCCGTAGTTATGCTAACGACAGCGGTACAGCCTTATTTATTTATTCGTTTTAAGCAAATTGACTAACTTTACAAATTTACCCTAATGATAATGATATTTATTAGGTTCAGCCCTATTTGTTTTCTATTCTATAGCCCTATTACTCGTTGAATATATCTCATGACCGGAAGATATGGTGGAGGTTAGTGGTCAACATCGTGAAGGGGCATGCGGCGGAAGTGGTAGTCATGACGAAGTTGATGGCGGGTGTTACAGTGGCGGACGTGACCGGGCAGTGTTTGACTCGATCGACTGCCTTAACCCCAAATTTCAGACCTTCTCTGTTTCCTTTTGTAGTTTGTACATGAGCTTCTTTACTCTCTTCTTCTTCAAACAACATAATATGATTGTGTTAATCCCCAACCCATTAATCTAACTCTGATTCCTCATGGAACCCGACGCATATGTGGTGCTCGCTGATTGCCACGGCCTGACCGGAGTTGAGCTTGAGAAAGTCTTTCTCGCCGTTTGAATTGGGCGGATTATATCTTTCTTGAGCCTCGGTTCTTCCTTGGGAAGTTGGGATTTTTAGGAGGATTGTATTTCACCTTCATCTTCTTTATCCGAGTCAATTTTGTCGTCGGAAAGGAGGCTGTTGATGTTCTTAGAGGAATTTCCCCGGAGAACAAAGGAGAATTTGGGGTTTGCGGACAGATTTGAAGCCTACTTAACAGAGCAATTGATTGACGCCTGCTGCTGACTCTGTATGAAGATTCATCCGATTGAATCATGACCCAATTTTCCGGATATATTTTTTCATTCATTCTTATAACCGGATTATTATCACTGAATTTGGCTGCTTAATAATAATTTGGATATAATCAGTCAGAATTGAAGGAAGAGGTTGTCAAAATGTGGAGTGACATTGAAGGAGGAATTTGTAGGCATCATATTACACATGTCTATCTTACACATGTCTGTCTGTCTGTGAGTAGTTATATTTATCTATGAGTAGCTTGTTCATAAACAAAATATGGTAAATCTTTGAACATGTTATTCATAGACAAAAAAATAACTTCTCCTAAACATTTGTAAGATGATGTGTACAAAAAGAATTTTCATTGGATAAAGATTGTAGACTGGTATCATTTAATTGAAAAGATTGGACACATTGTGCTCATTCCCTCGTCTTTTTGGCTCGAAGCTTTCTGGATACCTCCAAACGGCTTTGGACAGGTTAGGGATCGGAGACATCTAGCTGCCGAAAAAGTTAAATAGTATGTTTGGTTCAAGGTAATCACCTATGCAGGCCGGAATCTTATGCCTGGAATCTGAAATATCCGTGTTTGGTTCGTAGGTTTATTTTTATGGGGAGAATGTCACATTCCGAAAAGGAAGAGAAAGTAATAGGATGCTCCTTTATCTCAAACTCACTCAACTCTTAGGTTATCTTACCTTCCTTAGTGGGGGTGAATTTTATTCCAAAATACCCATTTTCATTTAACCAAAATGGTTTAAATAGCATACAGAGTGTTTATTTTTTATTTTTCTTAACCCATCTAGATTGGAATTTTTTTAAACAAACCCATCCATATTGGATTAAGAAATACAAAATGTATACTTTTGAATTTGATTTATTAAAAATTAATGAAATAATTACATATTTATAACTAAAATAAAGATTGTTTAAAAAAATGTGAGAAATGACTACAGTAGTAATTTAATCATAATAACTTGTATTGAACTTTTAAACTTAAATGATCATGATAACTTAATATATGAGGAGGTGGTGTAATTATTAAGAAAAAGGAGTTAATGTGGTTGATAGTGAATTACGTAGTACCGGAGTAATAAATTTAGAATAAAGTAAGAATGATTTAGAAGGATCAAACATTAATTTTTTTTCACTAGTGGTTGATAGTGAATTACCTTTTAGTAGGAGTAAAATATAACATGCAACTTTTCCTTAAATAGGAGTCAATATCTAATATTTTCTAAGTAGGATCAACCATTAATTTTCTACCCCTAATCTAATTAATTGCCCCCTAAAATCCTTGAATAATCAGGTCATTCTATTAGTGACGTGTGGTCCATTGATTTTTTGATCGATGAAAAACGTAGGCTCCTATCGATGAAGACATTCTTTCTCGAGATTCCGACGATTGTAATAAGGGTATTACGAAAAAATATTTTTAAGAGCATTAAAGTAATTCACCAAGTTTGTTGTATAATATATGATTTAACCAAACAAATTAATGTCACATTCCTTTAGTCTCAACCAAACACAAATGAGTACAAATTGAATACATTCCCATCAATCTAACATACCCAGCAATCTAACATTCACATGTTGATCTGACATTCCTTGAACAAAACATACCCTTATGGAGTTGGAGTTACTGCCTCAGATTGTCCAGGTCGCAAGATCACCGCCTGCCACCGGATTGTCGGATTTTTTTCCAGAATGCCTCCACCGATGTGGCAGAATTCTGCCACCGCCACCGCTAGAGACTTGCACCGTCTCCGCCGAAGTTTGTTGCCGCCGCCATGGAATGATCTGACGGCAACGGACTGACCTTGATTATGCAAGGGAACTAGGGGCAATTAATTTGTTAATTAATTAATTACTCAAATCAGGGGTAAAATGAAATTATTAGTTATATTCAAGGAAAACCAAACATAATGTCCTTTTTTGAAATAATGCTACAGAGTACGTTTTAGTCCTACACTCCTACCAAAAGCAATTTTCTCCTAAAATATTTATGTCAATGCGGTTACTTTTTTTGTTCCTCCAAAAAGGTTGAATTCTCAACCCCAAGAATTCTCCACGTCCCAACTCGACAAAGCATATGAGAGATTGTAAATCTCAATTACCTTGTAAAGTCTCATGTGGTTCACCTCCGGCGGAGCGGTGATGTATGGAGTTTTCTCCCCACGCTAAGGCTCTCAAAGTCTCAATTGATGAAACGTATGTCTTTGATCAAGAATCAAATTGAGTCTCACTTTAATGGAGGAGTTGAAGCAATTAGCTCCTAGCCTCCTTGACTGTGACATGTCACAGATTGAAGCCATCAAGATAATGTGTTGTTTTCTTCAAACAAACATCAACAACCTCCAGGGCATTTGACACAAAAACATAAACCCATGGGCATTTAAGCGCAAGCCATAAAGAATAGCTCCTAAATAAGAGAACGTTAGAAATAAGTTAAACAAAAAAATTCCAAAGCATAAATAACTTTAGCAACTCACATCCACAAGTTCACCCTACATTCGTACTTTCGACGCAATCAATACTCAATGAGACGCCTCTCCCACTATTATTCGTAAGTCATAACAACCTAAATTTGAACTTTGAACTGATATTGACTTGTCATGAGTGCCATGTTGCGAGGGGAACAAGCTATCAGCACCTTAAACAATTGCAAAATATACATAGAACAGACATCTATAGACCCTACTTAAACAGGCCAAAACAATCTGAAAATCTCAATCCAATTAAAAACATATCTAGCAACATGATGAACACGACAATGGGAAGCATATTTATGATGATGTTTCATTCTTTTGTTATATACCCCGGGGGTCTGGGGGGAGGAGCGGGGAAGGTAAATAGGATGAAACTCCCCCCATCGAATTTCAAAGTCGACACTTCATGTATGAGAGTGTAAGTGGGCGACCAGCTTAACAGAAGTGCTTCACAAAACTTCATATTAATCCGCTAGTCAAAACTCATTATAAAAAGCACTCAGACCTTAATAAAATAAAGTCATCCCATTGATGCCACGAAATTGTATTCATGAAAATCAAATCAGCCGCCAAAACTTACTTAGTGTTTGGAAATGGAAAAATTCACACTAATAATCCCACCTATTGATGGTTTTCTATTATTAATCTCTCCTACTGATTATTCTGAAATAATACGAACTAAGGGGTTAATCTCCCCCCTTTAGTCTAAAGGTACTGCCAACCGAGTATGCCAGTGATTATTTTAAATTCGTTTAACTAACAACTGTAGCAGCTCCTTAAACAGACCTAGCTCCTCTGTACGCAAGCTCCCAGAAGTTTGGCTCATCGTTTTGAAGCCCAACCTCCCTCCTGGGCTTCGCAACTCAGCCCCTCCCCTCCCATGTCTTCTCCCTCGGACACGTAAGACGATCAAAATCTATTAGCCCGTTTAGCCGATATATGTATACTGCCTTGTGTATTATGTGCATTGAATTACCGAGTTTTACTCTTCGGATAGCTTCCTACTCCAATTCATAAATGGAACCAGCCCAATCTGCCTAAGAACACTGAGGTCTAGTTGAAGGTAAACCAGTCAACTACTACCCCTGATTTTCCCGTCATTTGTGCTTTATCAATGGAAGATCACATGTAGTCATATATGGTAAATTTATAAACTTGAATTGTCATCAAGACGGGAAAGAATAAACAGAGATGAGTAAGCCCCTTATTATTGGTGTGATGACAATTACCTCCAATTGAGTTCGAAGAAGATGATCCACTGACGGACCTCATTACAAATGCCGAAGAAGACGACCCACCTCCGATTCAGTTTGGCCTCTGTGTTTCCCTTCTCAGACCGTGAAATTAAGTCCGGCTAAGTCATACCGTGAAATTCAGTTCACCACCAATTCAGTCTGGCCAAGTCGCGCTCGTTGTCTTCCTTCGTCCTCGCGTTTCAGATGTCCTCTGCGTTATCTTCACAGCAGCTTCACATTTGTAAAAGGGAGAGATTAATTACCACGTGCGGTCACATGACTATGAATTACCGGTTAAGACCCGAACTTTAGGTTAATGGAGTAAAGGAGGAAGATTAACCTCTTAGTTCGTATTATTTCAGAATAATCAGTAGGAGGGATTAATAATAGAAGACCATCAATAGGTGCGATTATTAGTGTGAATTTTTCCTTTGGAAATTATAAACCCCAAGGACTTAAGGAGATATATATTCCTAGGAAACGTTAATATAGACCCCATGCAAACAATACATATTGAAATAGTTAAAATATACGTAGTATATATATATATATTAGATGCTAGAGGTAGTACTTTGTATAATTTCGACTAAACAATTTTCATTAGACAATACAGAATTTTCGTGTATTTTTTGTTTCATTTCATTGCCAATTAATAAGATAAAATAGAATCTTTTAAAATATTTTACATGTAAAATATGTCCTGAGCCAAGGGCTGACCTTGAAACATGTACATATTAGGGGTGGACTCGAGTCGGGCCGCCCGGCCTGGTACTGTTTGGGCTCAGCCCAGCCCAGTACCCGGTTTTGGGGCCGGTTCGGGCCAACCAGAACCGCTCAACTCCCGGTTCGAGCTCAGGCCTTGAAAATGTTGTACCGGCCCGGCCAGTCCGAGCCCGGTTCGGGCCATTTTTTTTCATTTTGTTTTGGTTTCTACCGAGTAGGGCTGGGTGTTTTGGGGGGGGTAGGTGGTGGGGAGTGAAGGGGGGGGGGGGGTCGGGGGTAATTTAGAAAAGCAAAAGAAAAAAAAACATTAAACCGGAAACCAGACCGGCCCGGCCCGGAACCGCAGGTCACCCAGGCCGGTTCGGGTTCCCTACTTCCCAAACAAAAGCCCAGACAGGCCCAGGCCCGAACCGGCCCGGGTCCATCCCTAGTACATATAGTTGTGTGAAATTAGAAATCCAAAAAATATGGCTTCTCATTGAGTGGATCAGTTTACTTTGTCCATCAAGTACATAACTCGTCATGGGCACTGGGCAGGCTCGCCCCTAACATTTTAGCCTTCTAGGGGTGTTTCTAATTTCTAAATGCAACCGCAAATCTACTATTCAGTCTGCAGTCACAATTTTTAACTCAATTAAATAAGTATTTATAAATTTTTCATTCAGCCCAGCTTCTTTTTTCTCTTCTGCTATAGCTATTTCATTTGCAGTTAATCTGTGACAAACTGTGTCTTGGCAACAGGTTTAAACATCACATTCATGTATGAGTTTTTTCCATCCATACTCGAACATTTTCCACAGTTAATATGTATTTACAAAAAATATCTTAAGCCTAGGAGTTTGAAGGAAGACATGACTGAGTTCTGAGACGGACTAGTCATTGATGCGGCACCGAGAACATTGACTTACACAAACAAAATATTGTCCTGATAACTTTAAGATCTGACTAAGTTACCAGGGCATGCGGAAGCACCTCGCTGTCAAATGCATATATCTGAAGGGACACAAACTTATTGGCCATTTAAAACAAAGTTGAACAGATACCATGTTCACAGCCACACTAGACTCTCCCCATTTTATAGGACATTAGGATTTGGGAATTTTAAAGCGACAACACATACACCTCACAGAACTAAAACAATGATGAAATTCCAAGGGCTAGAAGCATCACTGCATGAGCTTATCAGAGCACATCCCTTTAACCGCTTAATTAAATCCGCTTAAAGTTGATGTCAATGAAAATTCATCAAGAGTCAGCATCGCAGGAATGAGACGATGGTAAACTGACCCATTACTTGTGATAGATGACTCTATTAACAACATCAACAGGAAGAGCATATGCTGGATCTATAGCTTTGAGTGCCGGGTATTCCAAGAGCGAAAGTCCTGAAGGGCAGACAAATAATGATGCAAGATAAATCAGACCACTTATTTTGTAATAGGTGCTAATCACGTGCTCGAGCGGTCAAGTTAAAACAGCCAGTTTTTGAGCGATCAAATTAGTGTACCTTTTTTTTAATATAATTTACAACTGCTCAAAATGTACTGAGTGGGGTTGATAGATATTTTATGATTTTGGAGTGGCAGGATGACTTGTGATCCTACACTTACCAGCAACCCCAAAATAGGTATGGAAAACATCAACTGCATCATCTGGCCTATCTGAAATTCCACCATTTTCTATATCCTACACAATCATGAAGGCACAATTGTGACTAACACCGCAATGATCAACAAAAAGTTGCTTAAGGAAAGATAAATGATCAATTGTGACTTCTGTACGAAGATTTCAACTCAGCACAAGGAGGCAGAACTCACTTGACAGTCCAAAATAAATTTTACAAGCTTCTCCTTGTCAATCCAGTGAACTCTGTCTATCATAATTAAACTGGAAAGAACCCACCAAGAGTAGCAGACCTGGAATGAAATAAACAAAATACAATGAGTAAGATCAGTCGCGTCTTAAAACCATATCAACAGATTTATGTATTTATCAAGCAAGGACAAATCGCACACATCAGGAAGCTTCTCAGGGCGGCCATTAAGACCTCCAGATTGAACTTGTCTTTCACATAACCACCAGCCAAGGAGATCTTTGTCAACATGATGCAAAGAGCCCGTTATTGCAAGAGCTCCTACACAACAAAAAACTGCAATAGGATAAAGTTAGTGCATTCAAATCACAGCATATGGCTGAAGGCATCACAGACTAGGTCCAACAATACTATGCTTGGACATTAAGGTTTGTTCAAGCATGTACCATATTAAAAAACTAGTAAAATAAAGATGAGCTTATATGCTATGAGGTTCAAGAAGCTAATTGGCTCAATTTTATAGTTTTGATTTGACTCGAACACATCATATCCCAAGATTGGGCAGAGGATTTCTATATTAGAGATTTCTTTATGCAATCTTCATTTACATATCAAATTTTAAAAAGGTAATCAAAACAATATAGGATCTAGCATTAACAAGACTTCCAAATCATTATTTTGGGTATAAAATGTATCTAAATGAATAGTTCACATGACTTCTTCTAGAATAGCATGAATATCTATATCATAATAATGCTGAAATGCTGAATAAAATTGCATGAAAGTAGGCATCCAAGATCACACAGGAGAATGCTTGAATAATGATTCTAGTAAAGATATATCTCTTCTAAGTCAAGAAACATGTTAGCAATTTCAAATAAAAGTTAGCACTATGTTGTGCAACATACTTTGTCCGGCATGTGACTCTGCCCCAGGTGTGCAACCAAATCCACCATCCATATTCTTGCAACTTAAAATGTATTGTACTGCCTTTTCCACATCAATTGCATCCAAGCATTGCAACAGTGCAAGAGAACTTAATGCAGTGTAAGAGAACCTAAAAGAAGAGTTACATTGGTAAAACTTTTCTTTCATGATAATACTATGTTAAAATAAACACTGAATAACATGCAAAATTTGTTTCATGTGTAATAAGTGAATGAAGAAACTAAGATGAGATCATGAGAGAACAAAAAAATATAAGAAAGGTTTGAAAGTGCAGTTGATTACCTTGTATCAACTTCACCCCACATGTCACCAGAAAAAGAACCATCTTCATTTTGCAGGTTGACAATATCTGGCTAAATAGTCAAGTTCAACACCTAAATTCAATCTCGGAGTTGTTACACATTCACAGTTTTGATTGAAACATAAAGTTGAATTCTGGCTAAAAAGTTTTTAAAAAAACATAAAAGACAATACACTAGAAATATAGAATGTATATCCCTATTGATAAAGTGGAGAACTTATGTGGTGAATGAAAGTAAAATACAATTCATGTCAAGATTCAAGAATCAAGAAAGGATACATTTTGAAACCCTGCCAGTGTCAAGAACATCAAGCTTATCAAATAGCGCTAAAACTTGGATGGCACTAAGGGTATACAAGATATGTGGGTCGTGTCCAATGTTACCACCAAATCCACCTGCACAGATAAACACAAGGTACTCTATTGTAAATGTAGCACTAATTAGCCAGATTTCAGGCACTATGGCTAGTTCATCATCCCATATATCAAATTAGTTTTAAATAAGCTAATCCTGCTGTTATATCCAAGAAATATGAAAAAACAATTATTCTCTCCCAAATATGAAACCAATAAAGACCAAAAGGGTGGCAGGCAGGCATTATAATCATATTTAGTGGTTCCTTTTGCGAATCTACATTGTGACTCCAGTTAAATACACAAACTGTGTGCATCAACTCACCAAGTAACACCTTATCCAAAAGAGAAAATATCTCAATAAAACTATACAACAACATCCATGCCTTAGTCCCCAAAGAAATTGGGGTCGGCTAACATGAATTAACATATGAAATAGGAGCAGGGAAAATATCTCAACAAAATTATTAAAATTAAGAGAACTAGCAAATTGTACATGCTGATCAAAATTTAGAGATCAACCAATAAAAAGAACTTAGTATGATAAGACAAACCAGATTCATCTTGACACTGCATGATCCAAGGAATAACCTCATCTCGGTCCACTACATCAATCTTTCCTAGGATATCAAGCGTTGTCAATCCCCAGTAAGCTCCATTTAATCTTAGATGCTCCATCACCACAGATTCGAAATCATCTTTCCTCTGAAAGTAAGACAAATAAACATTGTAAAGATTATTCATTTAACAAAACACCCACTTAGTGTATAGTAGATAAAAAATTACCATGTTGAAAAATACATATTTAAATATTTGACACTAAAACGTTATATACTAACAGGGCAATTAACAAGTTCAAATATTAGAAAAGTATAATACTTTAACGAGAAAAAAACAAGTTCATATGTCAGACCACCTGCCCCAATGTGGTAACTAAATTTAGATAATTAGTTGACTCGATAAATTTCATTGCACCAACCCAGCGTGGTTGGGATTAAGGTGATGCTTATAATAAAAAACACCATCTTGTTTCTGTTATTAAGTGAAGCGATAAATCCGATAATCACAGTAAATTCATTAATGAAAAGAAGACATATTAGATATTACTACATGATTAAGAGCCCATTCTCTTTAATATGGTTCATAAAAACAACAAGTAAATAAAAGAAATATAAAAAATTCTGACCAATTCTGACCTTTTCAACTGATATAATGTACTTAACATGCTTTTCCACCACAAGCCCTTCCATTCTGCCATTTGAGACATATCAATGCAAGTTATGCGAGGTACCAACTACCAACTACCTATTGTTCAAAAATATAAATAAGATATCCATAGTAAACAAGTTAATGCTGTTGTTATTATTATTATTATTATTACTATTATTATTACTATTATTATTATTATCATTATTATCATCATTATTGTTATAAAACTATGTATCTTCAATTGAAAGATCATACTTGTAATCTTAGGTCTGAATTTGTTCTCTAGAAAGAAATGAAATTTTGGATGATTAATTTCCATATTTTCATTCTTATGAACTATAGATATTTCCAAGAGAAGAGCATTTGAAATAAGATGGTATAAAGTTCCCTGCGGTTCTTGACGATTGTCTTAGAACCACAAACATCTAAATAAAAACATTGGAACCAATAAAAGAATGAGTTGGGCATGTACTCCATTACTGGTTTTTTATATTAGAATGTACAGGCTAGATGTTTACTTTAAAGTTGTCATCAGTTAGTAATATTATCTTTTTTTTTTCAATTCTAGAGAGTGACTCTAAAGTCATGCTTGTGAGCTTGTCAACATTGAGTAGCGTGTAGGCTAGGTATGGGTCTTAATTTTGTATTTAAGAAGATGGAGAAAGATAGATGAAGAACAAAAACTATTACGGAGTATAAACTCAAATGAAATACTTAAGGTGTGTGATATTCTATTAGATGCTGAAGTTACAAAATAATGGTAAATCATGCCAGGTTTAGTTTAGCAAAGTCATAGCCGATTAAGCTTAATTGGTAATGACTTTGCTAAACTAAACCTCAATTAAATTAAAAGACTAAGGATATTTTTATTTGGAGTGAAATTTTTTAGCCTATTATGTTCTGTTTAAGTCTTGTCTGAACTAGTGGGGTAGATGTCTGGTCTATGTGTATTTTACAATTCTTGAAGTCTAGTCTGATCTTTTTAAATTTGGTCTAGTCTGGTCTTTTAAATTGTGGTCTGGTATGTGCAGGTCTGGACTGAAATCAGTCCAAGTTAAAAGATCGCGTGTACACTTTTCTAGCATGAAAATGCTTCTTTTGATATAGAATTCCATAAAATCACGTGAAAGCATATCAATACATAAGGCATACAAGTTAAAGCATACGTTCATTTTCAGATTTTAAAAGTTATAAAAATAGAAATACTCCATTCACAACAATAATTGACAGACAAAAGAGTTTCATTCATCCTAACTCATGCGGAGCAATTTAGCAGATAAAGACATACACACGTTGTGAGTATTTAGGCTATAAGTTTATGCAAAGATAATTGATATATATAGATTTAGCAAATAGTCCACAAATGAATATGTATTGGTACCTGAAAGAAAAATATTTAAACAAAAGGGAATAACTTATCAAAAAAAAACTTGCTGCAAAAGCTTATAAAATATAACTGCTTGTTTGTTTTAGGTTTCATGGTTAAAGAGTGTGGGAATGAAGTCCATATTCGAGTTCATGGTTAAAGAAGATAAATCAAGACCCGAAAACGGAAAGCAACTAAACATTAAAGAAAGACGAAAAAATCTAGATCCAAAAATGGACTTAATTGCCATCACACTAATCAGTAAAATCTCTTCAAAAATACAAGAGATGGAGAGAAGATAAATCATGGAAAAAAGAAGAGAAAATTACCTTTTTCGATATGACCTTACAACCAAAGCAGTTTTTATACGCCAGATACTCCAAGAAATGTAATGTAAGGTACTGCCTATGGCCTTTGAAGCTTAAACCTTTCACTCAAATTACACCCATCGTCAAAAGAGGGCATCCCGTCTGAGGGAAAGCAGCCAAACGGCATTTGAAGAAAAAAATTGCAAGCGAAAAAGAAGCAATTTTTTTACTTGCCCTTGCTGAGGATCGAGCTTTCGATAACTCGCCAAACAGGCGACCTAACTATGACTGCGTTACAGGGGCATCAATGTCAAGTTGGAGGTGCTCAAATAGAAAAATTTTTATGGAGCCACACTCTCTCCTGGAGTTACATGGGCTATTATGGCATCACCACAACCACACATTATTTTATTGAGGATTCCCACTAAAATAATTTATGGTGGTGGTGATGCCACAATAGCCTATGTGACTCCATAAGAGAGTCATATATGGCTCCATAAAATTACTCGCTCGAATAGACGTTACTCCCTGTAAAAAAGGGAAAATGGTCAAATAGTCCATCGAACTTATATAAAAAGTCAAATAAATCTTTATATAGGAGGCTCTGTCCGGCCATCGTCATTTGGGGCAGTTCCCGTTGAAATTTTTTGAACATCTTATTCATTAAGTCTAGTTTACTCATACCAAATTTCAGCTAACAATTCAATCGGGAAGGCATTCAAATGAATTTTTGAATATAGTTGCGCTTTATCTTCAAGAATTTATTTGAATGTCTTCCCGGTTGAATTGTTAGCTGAAATTTGCTATGAGAAAACTGGACTTAATGAATAAGATGCTCAAAACAATTCATAAAAAAATTCCACCGGGAACCGTCTCAAATGACGACGTCCGGACAAAGCCTCCTATATATGGACTTATTTGACATTTTTTATGTAAGTTCGATGGTCTATCTTACCCTTTTCCCGTGTAAAAAAACAGTATTATTAGTTGTTAGTATTTTTTCTAATATGAATCTTGTTAACTTTTTAGTAAAAGTCTTGCATGATCAAGTTTAAAGATGTGTTTTTCCTTAGACTCTAATTTGTTGGTCTGATCTGGTCTGGTCTGATCGGGTCTTGTCTGGTTTCTTTATCTTTTTAATAACTATCCAAGTCTGATCTGGTCTGGTCTAGTCTGGTCTGATCTGGTCTGTTCTTGTCTGGTCTGATCTGGTATGGTCTGGTCTGGGATGAATTACAGTCCAAGTAAAAACATCCTAATTCTATTTTGAGTGTGTGTTTGTATATGTGAAATAATAAATAATTGTTGGCTAGTTACATACTTCCTGTTGTCCCTTAAAACTTTGTCATCTTTTCATTTTTGTGACGTCCCAAAAAATTTTGTCACTTTTCCTTTTAATCAATTATTTTGTGGTTGTGTTATTTCTCTCTCCTCTGCACAAACTCAACCACACTGTTATTATTATCCGTGCCGGTCAACTTTGGGAAAATTTTAAGGGACGAAGGTAGTATAATAGAAAAATTATCAATGATACATCGATCGTTGCCATAACAAAATTAACTAAAAATGATCCAAGTCTATACTCTATACATGTAATACTTGAGATAAATCTAAAGCGGTTAGTAAAGTAATTACTAACGGTCAATAATTTCTTGGTACAAGCTAACAAATATTCCAACTCTAAGAAATGTGTCGGTGTTGATCTTACCTAAGGGTAGGGCTGAGCAAAACCCGATCCGACCCGAAAAATCCGATATTTTTTTCGGATATTATCCGAACCGAAGTGGATATCCGACCCGAAAAACCCGAAACCGAAAATCCGATTAGTATTGGGCCTAGACCGGGTGGCGGGTAGGGTTTGTGAAATCCCAACCCGACCCGCCCGAATATCCGAAATATATGTTAGTGTGTACTTTGAATATTTAAATTAATACTTGTGTTCAATTATTTGTGTAATTATTTATGCAATTTGTATTAAATTATTTGTGTAAATTGAATGTGTAGTGAACTAGTGTGTACAACTTTTGTTAAAGTGGCATTCCAACACTTTAACTATCCAATTATAATGTGTTTTGATATAACCAAAATATCCGAAATATATTAAATTATGTAGTGTGTACTTTGAATATGTTAAATTAATAATTGTGTTCAATTATTTGTGTAATTATTTGTGCAATTTGTGTTAAATTATTTGTGCAATTTGTGTTAAATTATTTGTGTAATTTGAAAGTTTAGTGCACTAGTGTGTACAATTTTTGCCAAAGTGGCATTTAAACACTTTAATTATCCAATTATAATTTTTTTAAATATAACCGAAATATCCGAAACCCGACCCGATATCCGATAATATCCGACTTAAAAATATCCGAAATACCCGATTTGAAATATCAAAGGGTCGGGCCTAGTATTTAAATTAAAAAACCCGAACGGGTTTAGGTTTCGCAAACCCGACCCGCCCGAACCCGACCCGTGCACACCCCTACCTAAGGGTGGACTCGGGTCGGGCCGCCCGGCCCGGAACTGGACCGGCCCGGTACTGTTTGGGCCCGGCCCGGCCCGGTACCCGGTCTGGGGGCCGGTTTGGGGCAAACGGAACCGCTCTAATCCCGGTGAGGGCTCGGGCCCCCTAAAATGCGAACCGGCCCGGCCGGTCCGGGCCCGGTTCGGGCCTATTTTTTTTCAATTTTTTTTGTTTCTACCGGGTTGGGCTGGGTGTTTGGGGGTGGGGTTGAAGGGGGGGGGGGGGGTCGAGGGTTTATTTAGAAAATCAAAAGAAAAAAAAATAACATTGAACCGGAACCGGCCCGAACCGGCCCGGCCCGGAACCGCCGGCTACCCGGGCCGGTTTCGGTTCCACCATTCCCAAATAAAAGCCCGGCCGGGCCCAAGCCCGAACCGGAACCGGCCCATCCCGGGTCCATCCCTAATCTTACCGACGACATATACATCATTTGATCTTACCGACGGCGACGACACATATGGTAACACTCACATTTAAGTGGAATTGCATAATTTTTGTTGGTATAGTTAGATGATGTGATGTCTATTCCAATAATTTATATTAGGGGTGGGCGCGGTCCGGTCCTGTCACGCCCCGGACCACATCCGTGCCACGTAGACAACCGCCGTACAACCCAATAAGAACAACGTAGTTCATCCTTATCAAATCGTACAAGGCGTCCGATAGATTCTATTGCCAAACCGATTAGTAAACTCATACAATCAACATCAATATATTACTCAAACAAATGCGGAAGTAAAATATGTTTAGTAATTAGCCACACGTGGCATACATGAGCACGCAGACCCTTCAATAGTTTAATAGAAAACATTGTTCAAATATCCATGAGCATTTTCATAAGTCAAATAAGAATGGAAGCACGAACCAAGTCTTCCTTATTCGAAGTCCACCCTATGCAAAGGTGCAAGTAGCAGGACTCTAGCCTTAACCTGAAAAATAGTGAGGGCCCCCGGAGGGGTCAGTACTTCACAGAAAGAAGTACTAGTGACAAGCAGGCTATATGAGGAATAACTAATGTTTCAGACACGAGACCCAAAAATAGGATGATACATATATTTATAGGTGTAACCATTGTTACCATATTCCCAAGATAATACATACTGTATATACTTGTAAAATACTTGACCCGTAGGTCGTTTTCTCACAAAAAGTCTTTTAGAGATAAGGTGTTTACCCAACCTTTCCCCTTTCTTTCCTGAATGCCTAGCTCAAGGGCTACATTCTACCTTCATAATACCCTACCGAGTTTCGGGAGTGTTTACCGTCCCGGGGATGCTCAACCCCACCGAGTTTTAGGATTGTTTACCGTCCTGAGGATACTCAACCTCACCGAGTTCTTGGGATTGTTTACCGTCCCGAGGATACTCAACCTCACCGAGTTCTTGGGATTGTTTACCGTCCCGAGGATACTCAACCTCACCGAGTTCTTGGGATTGTTTACCGTCCCGAGGATACTCAACCTCACCGAGTTTCTGGGATTGTTTACCGTCCCGAGGATACTCAACCTCACCGAGTTTTAGGATCGTTATCCGTCCCGAGGATACTCAACCTCAACCTTATTCCTTACCAACCCTAACTTGGATATGGCTAACCTTTCATTCACTTAACTATGGACAATACCTAGTCCTATAGTCATGTAACAATCCTTAGTAACTAACGTGGACGGGTCCCACCTGATCGGTCCACGTTAACCTACTCAAAAACTACCCGTTTTGAGTATAACCCAATACTCGATCGAGTACCCACCTATACTCGGTCGAGTACAGGAGGCAGCAGCCCGTAAGGCTAATTTTCCATGCATACTCGATCGAGTACCTATCCATACTCGATCGAGTATAGGAGGCAGCAGCCCGTAAGGCTAATTTTCCATGCATACTCGATCGAGTACCTATCCATACTCGATCGAGTATAGGAGGCAGCAGCCCTCTGGGCAGTTTTTTAGCAAATACCCGGTCGGGTATTTGCCAATACCCGGTCGGGTATTGTAGTTGACTTGGCGGTCAACGCCCGTTTGACCGCCCTAACGGAGTCCGATTAATATGAAATTTTACATGCATGTACTCCTTGAAGTCCTTGATCCAAAAATACCTGTTTTGGTCCTTGGAACATCACACATCTCAATTTATAATCATTTCACTAATCAAACCTACATTTCATGCTTTCCAACCTTGTTATAGTTCTTAACATAACATAACACATGCTTTAATACCATTAATCAATTCATAAAACATATTATTGATTAATTTAGGTAATCTCATGCCTCACGCAAAAGTTATAAAGCATATAGTCGTCTTCTCACCTTATTGAAGCTTATGAAGTTCTAGCCTTTCCGATTTAGCCCCGGTGAAACTCCGGTGAACTTCAACGAACTCCGGCGACAACTCCGGCGACCCTTTCAACTCCGTGAAAGTTCTCGAAATACCTTATACAAGTTAATAACAAGGTTTTATCATCATAAAACCCATATCAACACAAATAACCTTCAAGAGGTTATTTTCCGACGAACCCGTCAACTTTGTCCTCCAAGTTCATTTTGGATATGAACCAACCTTCCAGCCCCTCATTCTTCACATCTAATGTGAAGAACAGTTCCATGGGTATGAAGTATGATTACATAACCATATTGGGAGATTAAAGAAAATGAATGGGATTAATGGAGTTATTACCTTATTAATCCTCAAGTTTTCCTCCTTCTTTCTCTCTTCTTTCCCCTCCTTCTTCTTCCTAAGCTTTGGTTCGAATGGGGATGGTGGAAATGGTGATTTTCAGTCCCTCTCTCCTCAAGGATGATGGCTTGGGCGAGCTGATTGAAGGTGGGTGGAGGGAACCCCTCACTTTTGTCTCAATAGCCCAAAATAATGTGGGGAGGGGCCCTTGGTTGATTTACTTGGTCTCCTCATCATTCAGCCCCCAACCCCAGCTCCCATACGGATCCCCTTGCATATATGCAAGACCAAAATCGTGGGGTGGTCCCCACTTATGTGGGAGGTCATCCCTTTGTGACCCGAGATGTACAATCGGCCCCGAAAGTTGTATTTTCCGGACTGTTTCAACTATATTTCATTTTATTGGGTAAAATGAAATATCTATCATTCTTCCAATTATTATTGGCTATAAGAATGAATGCTTTTTCTCCAACTTTTAATTTGATGGTCTCCATAATTCATTATGGCTTTTTATCTGATATTACCTCGGTACCGATAAATGGGCTTTATATGCCCAAAGGTTACTCGCATAACTTCTATGGCCCAACCAAGCTATCCACCATTATACACATATTATCTTGACCCAAATGAATATAATATGTGGTCCCGATAATATCGGGCGGCCCCCGCTTCCGGTGTGGGCCCCACGTGAATTTTACTATTCACGTAAAAGAAATGATAAAAATTCACAATCACGTAAAATGCGTTTATTCATTTCTTGGGTTCAATACATAATTTGATAAAGTACAAATACTTGGGGGCGGTGTTACAGGTCCGGTCCAATATTTGGCCGAACCCGTACTCGTACCGTTACTATTCAAACGGTTCGGTTCGGTCTTAGACCTAAACCCGTTCGGTACGGTTTCATTTTGAAACGGGACGGTACCATGCCATACCAATATCAAACAATGCCACTTTTTCCAAGTGTTTAAGAGACAATTAAAGTTTAGTCTTCCTCCAAAAATCTACACAATTTATCAATTTTCATACTCATTCCATCCCAAATTGACATGCAAAGTCAATATTTTTTGGTCAACCAATGTTAGAGTTAAATTCTCTTCATTGATAATTAATTCAATTTGTAATAATTAAAATAAACATATTCAGAAACCATATTGAAATTTCTTCAAAGTTGCAAGCTCCAAATTAAATATAATTAAAAATTGACATTCTAGTTAAGTGAATAAAATGAATCTATTTGACAAAAAAAAGTTAATTTTGCAAATAAATTTGGGACGAAGGTAGTATTACATAATTAATAAATTTCAGATAAATTGTAGTAGTACAAATTTAAATGATTAAATCATACATCAGTCCGATTCCAGGCTTCCTATGAACTAGCAAAGACGGTGAAAATGTAAAGGCACTAGTCAAAATAATGGTATAAATGTAAATTTAAATAATTAAATCATACTTCGGTCTGGTTCGGTCCGGTTTCGGTTCTCATTTTATGAGTACCGGTCATGGCATTGTTCAGAATCGGTACGGTTCGGTTCGGGACAAAAAAATTGAGATCCGTTTCAAACCCCGTTTTTCGGTCCGGTACCATATCGGTTCGGTTCGGTACGGTACCATGCCGGTTCGGTATTTTTGCCCACCCCTAATTTATATACTTATACTAACGGTTTAGTTACTATTAGTGTATGATAATTTGTTTGTAGTGAAGATTTAAACTACCCTCTCCTCTTTGGAAAAAAACTACTCCGTATGATTTTAGTACCCAAAATAAAACATAGTATAAATCAACGTGTACATTTGTCATTTACCAAAATAAAAACTTCGTATTTGATTCATTTTAAATCACAAAAAATGAAGTTTCCCCAATGCCTTATCCAAAACTGGTCGATCTTGTCCAAAACATTTCCTACTATCTATCCATAAAGGAAGCATATTATTCAACTAAGTATTTCGATCTTGTCTTATACATGTTTTTGCCCAAACGTGGTCAAAGAAAATGTTATATATTCATTAGGTTTATATTTATCATGAACATTGGATCATGTAAATGTGATACAACTGAGGTGAAATAAGTTATAAGTTCATTCACTCATAAATCATAATGTGATGAGGTTGACTCCCAAGGAGGATCTATGTATGAGTTATGGTAGGTTCTAATTTTTTCGATATTTTTGAGTCTTAATGTAATTTCTCTTCAATCCAGGACATCTCAGATTCCTGGATCCACCCTCGTTGACTCTAACAAACTAAAAACTTCACGCCATTATTAAGGATGTTCCAGTTTGCACCTCTTCATGAATATTTAGAATTACCTCCATTCCATTGGAAATTGTCAATATTGAGTTGGGTACTTGGGTGTGAAATAAGTGTTCTTCAAGGAATATGTAAAATACGTAAACTGCAACTCTGAGTTTCAGATACAAAAGAGAGCAACAACCCATCCAAACATAGCAGTAGCTTAACAAAAAGTGTGCAGAACAAATCAGTCACCACCACAAAAGCTAACGACTAGCTAACTTACAAAAGCAATAGCAGCTTCACAAAAAGATGCACCTCTGGCAGAAACTTCAGCAGCAAGGGGCAAAAATAAAAATAAAAACAAAATATCTCCACATCTGGAGGCAAACTGTTAGAAATGCATCATTTTACAACATAAATATATACAAAATTTGGATATTGTTGTTGGCAGTAGCTGACAAAAAAGAGCTAAATACAGCAAGCATATACAGGAGGAGGTTGCAGTTGTAATCAGGATAACTTGAAAGGATCCCTGTGGGGCATCAGCTCTTCACCATCTGGCACCAAATCTAACATAACCTGCCAGTTAAATTGTGAAGTGTATATATTATCTTCTTATCATTACTGTTAAACCATCTGTCACCTTAATCCCACTCACATTAGTATCATATTTTCATTTTAATCTAACCCTGAAAGGATTTCATTTAGACGCATCTCCAAAGGCCTATTAAGATTTCAATATCAAATTTAGACTTAAAAGTTCACCCTAAAAGTTTAAACTATGGCAAGAAATCTAAGGCCTTGTAGGTTAAATTATACGTAGTAGATTAATCCGATGTGAAATGGCGTAAATGCGTCACACAATATCCCTAATCAAGAAAAAGTAACCCTCTACTTGTTTCCACAAACTATTCATCAAAATATAATCAGACATGTGAGCCACTACCTTCCAATCTATGTAATCAAATCTGAAGATTGAATTCTGGTACGGCTCATTGGTAGGAAGAACCACACATGCTGCTGCTGCATCACTTGTAGCTGTAAACATAAGAAAATAACAGGTAAAGAGGATAAGATTGAACTAAATACTTAATAAGTTGAATACAGTGAATATGGGATTATTTATCTTACAGACGATATAAGAGCCGTTCTCAGCCAATCTTATAGCAATCCGTCCGTCATTTACCAAGAAAGAAAGCACAAATATATTTTCAATGGTCTGTGCATAGGAAATCCTGTTAAGGACAAGATTCTCAAGCTTGACACATTTCTTCTCTTTTATGGCCTCAAACATTGATGAAACATTCGCTTCAGTATTTGACTTCCACTCAGCAGTACTATCAAGGAGCTGTAGAAAGAAAAAAGGGAATGCATGACGAAACCGATAATTGACTATATATAGATTGTTCAGCTAGAAAAGAAAACTCTAGAAATGAAAGTAAATCTAGACATTTCTCTTAAAATCACTTGACTAAATGATCCCCAAGTCTTACTCAAAGAGGTGAGGTTTATGGCACACTTTGATAAGACATTCCCCATGGGTCAAATACAACACTATAAACTCTTATTATGTTGGCCTTTTAGAATCAAATATCAAGTCTTAATACGGTAATACACTTCTATATTAAACTCATATGAAATAGACAAAAGAAACGGGTTGCAAGGAAGAGGGAAAAAAACCTTCACCGGGCGAACATAAGGAGTACATCTTGTTTTCTTAATCTCATTTCTGATCCCCCTATGCTTGATAACATAATTCAGTGTGTCAGGCTTGATCATACAATATACTGGTTCAAGCTTTATCTTGTAACTCATTGGTCCAACCCTGAGAAAGAATGCCACCAATTCACTTACAATGTCAGAAAAGACGGTTTTGCTCCCCACTCTAAAGAAACAACACACTCAAATAAAATCTAAGAAGAAGGTGTTGACTTACATGGTCTTACAACCTGAACCATCCTTGAGAAAGGGTAAAGCAATTTCTTCCCAGCGTAGTATGGGCCCTGCATTCTTACCACGACCCCCTCTTCTTCCATAATGTTTAAGAAGATGGTAAACAAACCCTGAAGGTGTCACATTTCCTTTGAGATGTGACTTAACAGAATCCACCAAAGAGCTGGTAAGTCCAAGCACTGTTTCTGCATCAGCCACCTGTTCTCGCGGCCGTGTAACTGCCAAAAATGAGCAAAATTATGAATCTTGAAACAAAAGTCGTCTTGGAATTTGTTGTGGGTGTCAATCTCACAATCCAAACCTCACATGGAAGGTTTAAGCCTTTGATGCAAAAGGGTGCACATTCAGATAATGCATACTTTGAGGTGAAAGAAAAGTTCAGTTTATTTATAAAAATGTCATAAATCTTGTCCCAAGCATATAATGGAGATGAATATCTCTAGTTAATAAAAAAAAAGGATCACAGTCCATTCCTAAAGGCCTCCAGCATCGGCCGGAATGCCGGATAATTAATTGGGAGAATGTAAATTGGACATTTGGATACAAGCTGATAGAGAGCAAGTGAGGCTCTGTCTCTATGCCAAAGGCAGAGTCCTGTGCAATTTTACATAGTAACGTCTCATCACAGTTGTGGGGATTCGAACACGAGACTTATCCTTGTGACACCCCTATCTACTAGTTGAGCTACGCCAACAACAACAACATCCAAGCCTTTATCTTAAAATATTTTGGGACCATCTGAGCTATGCCCACGGACACAAATGTCTGTATGTGAGATAATGCCATATTAAAATCAAGAAAGGATATTCAATATAAATACAATGATTGGATATTGGATAGTAGTCATGAGACTGTTGAAATTGAAGTCATGATATCATTATAAATATTTGAATCAAGACTTTCGAACTTCCCATATTAGAAAACATTAAACCCCCCTCCCAAAATAAACATTAAATAAGTTAATGGCTTATTTACATTTCAATTTCTAAATTGATTGTTTTGTCGTGAAATACTTTGAGGTCTGATGGGCATGGTTCGAATTTCATCTCAATAACAAATATTGAGATTATCATGAAAATATACTATAATAAGTTTTGAAAGAATAACCCGAAAAAAATAATTGTTTGTCATTTGTGGTTGCGGTAGATGAAGCAAATAAATGTAAATTTTTATGCAAAAGCCTATTTGGGCCTGGATGATATAATGGGCTATGACCATATTTTATTAAAAATGCACAACCAGACCAGTCAGCCCATTAAAGTAGCCCAACCTAAGTCTGTAATTTTTGGGCAGGTATAGCCCCCCATCCGGGGCCATTAGTTATCCCTATTTTTAGGACTGAGATCTTCAATAAATTTTTAGATCGGTTTCAAGAACCTAAAGTTTTGTAATTGTTCATTTTCTATAGTTTTTCGGAGTGATACAATAACCATTTATCTCAACAGTCTAGATCTTTTAATTTATCATTCAACTTTTACCAAACGAGAATCTACTCCTCCTCCAATCAAAGGTTCTCATAGCAAAAGTGTACGTTTTTTTAGGCAAATTAAATAAAGTAGTTTAAGCACAAAAATAGAAAAGAGAAGAATTAAAAAGGCAAACAGTTGAAGGAAATATTTGTGCGGATGGATATATAATTGGGTGGAGTAATAATTAGATACATAGTTAAAGGAAATAATTGGGTGGAAATATAATTGGATGGAGTAATAATTAATTAATAATGGTGGTATTCAAAAAGTAATGATAAAGTTCACTTAATTTTTGCCAAAAGGAAAAGGGGAATTGACAAAAGTCATCCAAATATGGTAAATGAGAACTTTAAATGTCACCTAAAAAAAGAGCTTTAAAACGGGATTGATGAAATATTGAGCAAAAATATCACCTACATAAAAAACTCAACCTTTGAAACCCCAATATTTGGAGGTATCCAAAAAAGGGTAGCTGTGATTCTACAGAGGTAAAACCATAAAACACCAGATTCTTGTCGTCTAAATACTTCCAAACAAAGTAAATCTCATATTAAACCAAATTGAGAGAATATATGTACTTTTTTCAGCTTCGTACGGTAAAGGAATGGAAGAACTTGGTCAAACATGTGATTGGTCATAAAACCCTGAGTCATGCAACTGACCTTTCCACAAAAATGCAGCTTCATTCTATACTAGTGGAGTGAAATCAGAGGTGTGAAAAAACACATACCATACTGGAACAAGCCATTAACGTTGACAAACATTTCATTGAACTTCTCTGGTTCAGAGTTCCCAATGTCTTCGCTTCTCTCTGATGTTTCAAAAAGAAATCAAACCCAAACACGCCCTTGTTATTTAATGAGAAGGAGAAGACAAAATGTGGAAAGCCATGAAAGGTGATTCGATTTGAAACAGTACCGTTTATGGTGTTTTGATGGGTGTAGTACTGGGAACGGATCTTACGGCGGTCCCCGTCCGGCTGCTGGACGAACTGGGTAAACTCATTGATGAGCTCCAGCCTGTCGATTCTTCGGGCTACTGCTTCAGCTCCATCCATGGGCTCTCCTTCCTCTAACTTCACCTTCTTCCGATATCTCGCCATCTTCCTTGCTTTCTCGAGTGTACATTTGCTGAGTGTACATTTATTAGAGCCACTGCAAGTGCATGTAGTGGACCAGTGGGAAAGTAAATTACTACCTCCTCTAAGCAGGACGGATTCACGATTTTTGAGTGGGCAAAATTTTTTTGTTAGTGTAGGGGCAAAAAAAATTGTTAGTGTAGCGGGGAGAAATTTTTTTCACTAATGTAGCGGGGCAAATTTTTTTCGCTAGAATAGCGAGACGAAAATTTTTCACTATTGTAGGGCTGCGCGGCTAATTTTTTTCAAAAAAAATCATTAGTACATACATGATAACATTTAAATCTAGAATAAATTCCACTTTTGGTCCTATGAGTATTGCACTAATTCCACAATTGGTCCACATCTTTGACTTTGGCCACTTTTGATACATGACTATTTTGTTTTCGCCTACATATGGTCCTTCCGACAACTATTCTGGTGGTTAAAATCACCGGAAAAGGACATCAAATGGTCAAGAAACATTAGTTAAATACCAAAAGTGGACAAAGTGAAAGACGTGGACTAAATGTGAAAATGACATAAAACTCGTAAGACCAAAAGTGGAATTAATTCTTTAAATCTATTACATTTTAAGTTTAGAGAATGAAAAAATAGCTTTAATTTTGTAACCGTGAATGCTCTAGAAAAAAGTACTGATACATTAAAACATAAGAAATTGCAAATCAAAGGAAATTTATATGAAAATAGAAAAGGATATATAACATTTTGTCAGATTATTTGAAGGTAAAAAATTTGAAAGGTAATTAAACATCAGTCGATGCCTTTTAAATAACTTATTTCTTGTTTAACCACATGAATCTTATCAGAATAAAGAAATGGTTTTTGAATTGTAGTTTTTGTCTACCAAGGAGGGTGTTGATGGGTCACGAGAAGTTTTTTTAATATTACAATAGTATGTACGAGATTATTATCTTTGGAATAATATTATATATAGTATTGTTAATTCATATATATGGTACATATTATATTTGTATTAATGTTAAAATACGTTAAAGTTTATTATTTATGCAATAAATTGCTTTTAGAAAGTAAGAAGTAAATGACTTGTATAATTTAATGTCAGCAAAATTTATATATATTTTGGATTCACTTCACATGATTTAAAACTGTTTAACTCGTGTGTTTGATATTTAAGATCATTTGTTCTTTTACAAAATTTAAAACTAATTATCTATAAAGATAATCAAATATTACAAAGCCTAGGAATTTTTATAGAGAAAACTGTCAAATAGGTCCTCGAACTTTCATAAAAAGGTCAATTAAGTCCTTCTATAAGAGGTTTTGTCCGGCCGTCGCGATTTGGGGAAGTTCCCGGTGGATTTTTTTGATGAATTTTTTTGAGGATCTTATTCATCAAGTCTAGTTTACTCATACCAAATTTCAGCTAAAAATTCAATCGGGAACACATTCAAATTAATTCTTGAAGATAACTGCGTATTTTTGCGTTCTCGAATTAATTTGAATGCGCTCCCGATTAAATTTTTAGCTAAAATTTGGTATGAGTAACCTAGGCTTGATGAATAAGATGCTCAAAACATTTCATCAAAAAATTCCACCGGGAGCCGCCCCAAATCGCGACGACCAGACAAAGTCTCCTATAGAAGGACTTAATTGACTTTTTTATGAAAGTTCGAGGACCTATTTGACAGTTTTCCCATTTTTATATAATAGGTACCCTAAGTCTTAAACTATCTAATTTATTTTAGATCTTACTTCTTTTAAATATCCAATTAAGTATTACACTATGTAAGACAATATACTCCCTCCGTTTCCAAAAGAAAGTCATGGTTTGACTTTACGATTATTAAGAAAATAAATTGACTTTACTGTAGAAAACACTGTTTAGACACTGTTTGGACACTGTTTGGCACTGTTTGGACACTGTTTGGCACTGTTTAGATGTAGATTTCTTTGCCAAATAAGTTAATAAGGGAAATGTGACTTTGTTTTTGAAACATTCCAAAAAGGAAAGTGTGAGTTTCTTTTAGAAACGGAGGGAGTATTAACTTTGAAAACTAAAAGTCAAGGGGGGCGAAAACATATATATCTAATTAAAGTATGAAAATTTTATGAAAATACTACATATATAGTAGAAAAATTTGAAAGTCCAAGGGGGGCGGTCGCCCCCCTAAAATCTGTCCCTGCCTCTAAGTTTGGGACAAAGAGAATGTGGCACGGTTATTAATAAAAGAGGATTTATGTGGTTGATATTGAATAAAGTAAGAATAAACTAAGAATGATTTAGAACCATACAAATTTTACCAAATAAGGTATGAGACAATCTTAGTGGGACGAACCGAAAAGGTAATTTGGAACAATAATAGCGGGACGAGGAGTACATTTTAATCACTCTAATAATAATAAATTAATAATAATAACTATAATAATAATAACAATTATAATAATGTTGGATTTTTCTATAGAAAAATCATCCTGCATTATCATCCTACATATAATTGCAGTACTTTTGATCCGGAATTTTTCTCTCTCTAGGGCTTGGTGCCGCTAGAGCTTTTCTTTCTCCGCTATCGGTTTTCCGAGGAGCGGCGCCGTTTCTTTTCAGTGGTGTTCGTTGATTTGGATCGCATGGGCTGTGAGAGGGGATTATTACGGCAGTCTCAGACGACGGCTGTCAGGCGATCTTGACAGTCTTATTCGGAGGCAGTACCTTTCTTCGGTTGTTTTGAAGACGGAGATTGGTCTTCATAGAGCAAGGGAAAATTCAGTCGATGGAAGGCATAGTTAATATATACAAACATATGGCTATCGGTGAGGATAAGGAGTTGGTTTTCGATGATGAGGAAGAGGAAGAGCAGTCGGCGATCGAAGGAAAAGCGAGTTTTCCGGTTGTAGGCATGATTCTCATAGATGGAAGATCAAATTTCAGTTTTTCAAGGAATTGATGGCATCATTGTGGAAGCCTGTTAAAGGTGTGACTATTAAAGAAATTGGTGATAAGAGGTATAACTTTACTTTTTATCATATTTTAGATATGAAGGCTCGTGGTTGTTTGAAACTAATCTCTTACTTTTAAAGAGATCAAGGCAAAGGATATTCCCCTACAAATTAGTCTTTATGAGGCTGATTTTTGGGTATAAGTCCACAATGCGGCGTATGGTTTTATGAATTTAGGTTTTTCTAGACGTATTGGTAATTACATTGGAAAACTTATTAGTTTTTATGAACACCGGGCTGATGAAAAATGGGAGGCATATATGAGGATTAGGGTTCGTATGGATGTTAGGAGACCCCTGAAAAAAGGAACTGCACTGAAAAAGGTGGGATGTAGCCAATTGGTGGTTTTAAGCATGAGAAACTCCCTAATTTTTGCTTCGTGTGTGAAATTTTTGGGCATTCTGATAAATTTTTTCCGGTAGTGTATGAGGGAGACAATATCACCTTTGATAAAAATTATGGAGTTGATCTTAGAGCTGAGGGCGGGGTGAAGACAAGTCCTATAATGGGAACTAAGTGGTTGATTGAAGGGTCCTCCAGTACTGGTATATATGGGGATTTCAGATAAGCAGGTTACAGATAGGCAAGACTGGAAGGAAGCTACCACTACTGACATTGGAACTAGCTCTATCAAGGAAGGGTATTCAGTGAGTCCAGAGGAGGGGTGTAACACCATCCCCAAATATATTTACTTTTAAATAAAAAATGTAATGAACCTTATGGAATGATTAATGAATTTACGAAGTTGTAAATTTTTATTATTTCTTTCGCGTGAATAGTAAATTGCACGTGGGACCCGCACTGGGAGCGGGGGCCACCCGATAATCCCAAAACCATATATTTTATTCATCTTGGTCTAGATCATAATTATATGGTGGTGGATATTTTATTTGGGTCATAGAGAGGCCCAGGGTTGACCAATTGGTCAAAAGCGGCTCAATTACCAGTACTGACAATTTATCAGATAACAGCCCGAAATGAATTTCGGTGACTTCTAAATTAAATTTTTGGAATATATATTATTTCAAAGGGCCATTATGATTAAGAATAAGTAATATATTTTATTTTACCCGATAAAATAAAATATAATTAAAACAGTCCGAGAAATACAACATTTGATGCCAATTGTACACTTTGGGACAAATTAGGATGACCTCCCACATGGGTGGGGCCACCCCACGAATTTGTCAACCATTGAGGGCTGTATGAATGCAAAAAAGTGGCTGAGAAACATTTGAAGGGATGGGGGAGACACATTTGACATCAAAAGGGGCCCTCTCACTCTTATTTGCCAAATGAGATAAAAGGAAACTCATCCCCCCTTTCCCTCATCATTGTGGTTCGGCCAGCACTAAGGAGAAGAGAAGAAGCTCTGAAATCCCAGCTTCCATAACCAACTCGTGCTCAAGCTCAAACAAGAAAAAAAGAAAGAAGTTTAAGCGAGAAAAGAGAGGAAAAAATGGGGAAAAGGGGCAAATAAGGCCACATACTAACAAAAAAAAGGTCAAATAAGGCCTTATTTAGGAGGCTCTGTCCAGTCGTTGCCATTTGAGGTGGTTCCTGGTGGAATTTTCGGAGCATCTTATTCATTAAGTCTAGTTTACTCATACTGAATTTCAGCTAACAATTCAATCAGGAAGTCATTCAAATGAATTCTTGAAGATAACTGCGCTTTTTAATGTGCAGTTATCTTCAAGAATTCATTTGAATGTCTTCCCGATTGAAGTTTTAGCTGTAATTTGGTATGAGTAAACTAGACTTAATGAATAAGATGTTCACAAAATTTCATAAAAAAATTCCACCGGGAACCACCTCAAATGGCGATGGCCAGACAAAGCCTCCTAAATAAGGCCTTATTTGACCTTTTTTGGTTAGTGCATGGCCTTATTTGCCCCTTTTCTCGGAAAAAGTGTGGTGATTAAGGTAATAACATTATATTAGTTTTTCCACTATTCTTTAACTATCATATGGAATATATATCATATGAAGAACCCTTATGATTGTTCTACATGTTATAAGTGTGGAGTAATGGGTTGGAAAGTGGTACTAAGTCCAAGAACGGACTTAGAGGCCAAAATTACCGGTTCGCCGAAAAATAACCTTTTAGAGGTTATTTGTATTGATTAAGGTTTTATGATGTTAAAACCTTGTTAGGATGATGTGTTTATAGGAGGAGTAATGGGAACAGATCTTACGGCGGTCCCCGTCCGGCTGCTGGACGAACTGGGTCAACTCATTGAGACGTGTCAACCTGTACGTCGATTCTTCGCGTTATGGCTTCGGCCCCGTCGATGGGCTCTCCTTCCTCTACTTTCACCTTCTTCGCATACCTCGCCATTGCTTCCTTTGGTTATGCTTTTTTTTGGACGAAATAAGCTTGTTTTATTCCTTCCAATTATCAATCAGTACAATCTACTCACTTAACAAAATCAAAAGGGCAAGCCCAGTAGCCCCAAAACATCAGGGGAAAACAATCCAAAACACCAAAAGCTATTACTAGACTAAATCATAGGATAATGAGAAAAACCATTAAAGAAACTAGCAATCTCTACATCCTTAGCACATCTACCAATAACCTTTTGTACTACCTGTTGAAGGATAACATGTAACTCCAAATGTGTACCAGTAAAAACTCTCCGATTCCGTTCTTGCCATATAGAATAGAGTAATTCCGTAGCCAAGGCTTTCAAAACTCTGTTTGGCAGCTTTTTCCCCTTCACATCCTTGCATAATATAGGGAGAAATTGAGCCCAACTACTAATATTAAATCTTCTACCCAACCATCTATACAAACCTGCCCACAGCTTCTGAATTTTTGGACATTCAAACACCACATGGTCCATTGTCTCTAATAGAACTCCACAAAAGATACAAGAAGTATCAGGAACTAAAATATGAAAATGCAAAAGCCTTTCTTTAGTAGCAATTCTACCCCATAAGATTAGCCACAATATAAACCTAGCACGAGGCGAAGCCTTATTCTGCATTACCATTTCCTTCCAATCAACTTTTACACTTGGGGTTCTGAGCAGGGCATACATATCTTTCCTCCTAAAAACCGGTTCCTCCAATTGCTTCTGCCAATCACCAAACAGCTGCACCTTTTCCCTCACTTTCAGAATTTTCTTGAACATGAATGAGGCTTGGATAGGTACATCCATATGCAACACATCTTGATCCTTAATGTAATAAGCGTGAACCCACTTTATCCACAATTTATCAGCTTTTAAGTGGATCGCCCAGAGTAACTTCAAATAGCTCACACGGTTCCAAGTTTCCAAATGAATCAGCCCCAAACCGCCTTCAACTTTTGGTCTACAAACAGAATCCCATGCAACAGGTGACTTCCTCCCAGCTGCTTCACCTGTCCAGAGAAATTGTCTACACATAGCATTAATCAGCTTTATGACTTTTTTAGGGAAGCAGAAAACTTGGCTCCAGTAACTTTGGACTGCATAGAGAATACTTTGAACTAATTGTAATCTTCCCCCGTAACTAAGCAACTTTGCACTCCAATGCCTGATCCTTCTTAGCATTTTATCAAACAGAGGTTGGTATTGGAGGATGGAGAGCCTCTTAGAACTGAGAGGTACTCCTAAATACCTAAAAGGTAGTTTACCCTCTTTAAGCTGAACAGCCTCAATAATCTCTCTCTTCTTTACCTCATTTAGACCAGCAACGTATATTTCACTTTTATCCAGATTTGCCTCCAACCCAGAAGACTGACTAAATTGCTGAAAGGTACTCAAAACTGTAGATACAGACTTCTTTGTTCCTTTAGAGAAAAATAAAAGATCATCTGCAAATGATAAATGTGTAATACCTAGGCCTGCACACCGGGGATGAAATCTGTAATTAGGATGCTTGTGCAGTTGCTTTAGCATCCTACTGAGGTACTCCATGGCTAAAACAAACAGATAAGGAGATGCAGGATCACCTTGTCTCAACCCTTTTCTGGCTTGGAAAGGAGATGTAACTTCGCCATTGATACAAATCCTATAAGATACTGTCTGAATGCACATCATAACCCAGCTAATGAACATACTAGGAAATCCATAGGCACGAAGCAATTGCTCAAGAAAGCTCCATTGGACAGAGTCATAAGCTTTCCTTAAATCCAGTTTCATCATACACCTGGAAGATATCTTTTTTTGCCCATAACCCCTAATTACTTCTTGGGCAAGTATAATGTTGTCTTGTATATTCCTTCCGGGGACAAAAGCAGCCTGTTCAGAACTCACCAAAACATCCATAACAGGGCTCAGTCTGTTAGTAATAACTTTGGAAATCAACTTGTACAAAACTGTGCAGCAGGAAATTGGTCTATAGTCCTTAATAGTGTTCGCAGTAGCACTTTTAGGTATTAAAGTGATAAGAGTACTATTAATACTCTTAAGGATCTTTCCAGTAATGAAAAAATCTTGGACTGCAGACGTGACTTCCTCTCCAATTACACTCCAAGATTTTTTGAAAAAGGCAGCACTAAAACCATCATAACCTGGAGCCTTGTCATCACCAATTTGATCCAAGGCTAATTTGATTTCCTTGGCTGTAACTGGTTGAATAAGGGTTTTCCTCTGAAGTTGATTCAAAACTGGTCCAGTATGAACAACCCCAATATCAACAGCCCTAGAAGTATTTGCTGGCGAGCCAAGAAGGTTTTTATAAAACCCCAATATCTCATTTTTAATCTCCTCTGCTGAAGTCAGCTTTTGGCCTGCAGAATCGTATAGCACCGATATATAGGATGAACATCTACTCTTCAATGTAGCATGGAAATATTTAGTGTTTCCATCACCTACCTGTAGCCAGTGTACTTTGGAGCGTTGTTTCATTATACTCTCCTCGACTACAAGCCAATGATTAAGCTCTTCCTGCGCATGAGTAGCATTATTAAAAATTTCAGCATTTAAGGGGTATTGTTGAAGCATATCTTGCAGATTATCAACTTTAATTCTAGCTAGTTCTATTTTCTCCTGATGCTTTGAGAACTGCTTCATTAAGGTTTGAATATGCTTCCTCATTTCTTTCAGTTTAGACCACACTCTGAACATTCTAACACCACTTACTTGCATATTCCATCCCAAAGTAACTTTTTCAATGAATTGTGGATGGGATGTAACACAATTAAGAAATTTAAACTGTCTAGGCTTATGGGAGATTGAAGCTCCAGCCTGGAGAAGCAAGGGTGAATGGTCAGACCCTCCAGAATTGAGGACATTGACAGAATAATTCCCAAAATTTTGGTGCCAATATTGATTGCCGAAACATCTGTCAATTTTTGAGTATATAAGTGATCCTGCTTGGTTATTACACCAGGAATGATTCCAACCAGTGTAGGGAAGTTCATCAAGAGATGCATCAATAAGGAAATTCCTGAGATCAACACATTCTGCTTCAGAAACTGGATTTCCCCCTATTCTATCATCTGAGTTAAGAACATTATTGAAATCCCCAATAGTGATCCAAGCATCATCCAAATGTTCACCTATTCCCCTCAAGTCATTCCACAGAACTTTTCTCTTTTCCAGTTCATTACTACCATAAATGAAAGTAATAAAAACTTTAAAATTACGTGACAAATCACTGCAGCATCCATGGACAAATTGTTCAGATTCTCGGAGAGGTTCAAAGTGCACAATTCTAGCATCCCAGGCAACCCACACCCTACCACTAGAGTTTGCATTGTAGTTGTCTGTAAACTTCCAATGAACACCAAACTTTGCCCTAATTTTCTTCATATTAGTAGCTCTGACTTTAGTTTCAACAATACCAAAAATAGACACCTTATGTAAATGAATAAACCTTATTACTTCATTCTGTCTCGAGGATTGGTTAAGTCCCCGGACATTCCAACTAGAAATAATAACCATGGCTAAGGTGGAGGCCTAACTGGCCTAGAGCTTCCTTCATCAAAATTAGGAACTGAAGTATCAACAATATCATGGTCCATATTTTCACCCACCTCCTCCAAATTACTCAAAGCATCAAAAGAGTTACCCTGATTCAGAGGAAGTTCTTGAGCTATATTCTGAACTTGTCTTTGTACTCCATTTTGTTGAATTGGTGGTGCTCTTTTCCCAACTACAATCCATTCATACCTATTACCCTCATGTTGCACCTGTTTTTGTCCCCTTCTCTGATTGTTCAGATATACAACAGTACCATTTCTAGCTGGAGGTGCTCTTCTAGCTTGATTAGCAGTTTTTTTCTCATTACACTGATGTCCTAGAGCTTGACATCTTTGGCAATATAAAGGAACATTTTCATACTCCACCTTTTGCATATAACATTGACTTGTACTGTTCTTCAATCTGATTTCATGAACTAAAGGCTGACTTATGTCAACCTCCACCAACACTCTAGCATAAGCCAATTTAGTTTGCTTCAAAGTACATTCGTCGGTGTGTTTTGGACTACCCAAAGCACTAGCAATTCGCCCTAAACTTGCTTTTCCCCAGTACTGGATAGGTAGTTTTGGCAATTTCACCCACAATGACATGATGTTTAAATTTTCCTGAGAGATATCAAAATCCATAGACCATCTCTTAAGGACAACTTGTTGTTGTTTAACCTGATAAGGACCACCAGAGAGCACCCTTGCACAATCCTCCTCGGTTATGAACCGAGCAATGAAATAGCCCTCTTCAATCTGGTGCAGAACTGGAATTGCTAGTTTACCCCAAACTTTCCTTACCCAATTTTCCATATATCTCATAGTATGCTGGGCACCTATGACATAGAGAACCAGTGAATGCTTCCATTTATCCGTCTCTTCTGCTATATCTGCATCTGAGAAAGTAATACAAACACCCTCCGTATCCATTTGGGGAGCCTCATATTGTAGTAAATAACCATTTTCCGGCGATCGATTACCTGTAACCACATCAGCAAATCGTGGCTGAGAAGGCGGTTCCGGTTGAGAATCCTCAATACCTTGCAGGATCAGTCGACGAGCAGCAGGTTGTCGAACTGGAGATTTTTTTTCAATCTCAGTCACATCACCAATTATGGACGGAGTATTCCCTACTATCTGAGCATCTGTTGGCTCCAACAAGGCCGGAGGAACCGTAGCCTCGATGGGAGTCACCAACATCTCATTAGAGTTTGTCATCTTCCTTACCACACTCATAATTTCATTCTCTCGCCTAACCTCCCCAGGACTCACAGCTGGAGTGCGATCAGATTGATCTAGTGCAGGATTGTCAATTTTCGGTGATCGGCGTCGTCTCGGCCTACCACGTGTGTCTAGAAGGTTCTCACTTTCGACCTCTCATTAATCTTTAAATATTAAAAATAATACAGTTATCAATACTAACTACATTATAATATATACCTATTAAATTATTTCTCAAAATATACTCGAAGTTCTTTATTTTATTATTTTCTAAATAATTGTGTTGTTTTGCTATGAGAACCTTCCAACACGACTGGGGTAGTACATTTTAATCACTCTAATAATAGTAATAGTAATAATAATAACAATAACAAAAATAATAATAATAATAATAATAATAATAATAATAATAACAACAACAACAACTATGATAATAATAACAATTATGATAATGATGACAATAACAATAACGATAATAACAATAATAATGACAACAACAATAATATATGCAATATTGATGTCATATGAAAGATAATAACAAATCATAAGTTTTGATACATTTTTTGTAATAGTCGGAATACAAATAAAAAAGGTACACAAATAAAAGCACATAAATCTGGATTGGAGATTGGATGTTATTTACTTAGGCTCAAATCCAATAACAAACTCCAGAAATTATCACAATTTTATTTAAATGCATAGGTACCCCTGGATGAGGATTATCATACCGGTCTCTATCTCAAACTCACCGCGGTTATCTATCAAACGAATATGATGTCACAGACAGAACAGACCAAATGCATCAGGTGGTCATTGCAGCTAAATACACTGGCCCGAGGGTTCACCCTTTTGCTTCATTTGGGGGGCATCCGGTGTGCTCTTTTTCTCTTACTAGGATTTTTTCCCACTGGGTTTTTCCTAGTGAGATTTTTAACGAGACACCTCCCCATATGAACAAGAGGTGATGGCCCTCGGCCCCTAGAGGAGACATTACAAGGCATTCATCACTCTACTCCTCTCAATCTCACCACGCCTGCCTCAAAGAATGAAGAATTTCAAAAATGAGAAAGGAATCAAATTACTCTCTAAAATCCAACCATGCTGATTTTAGGGAGTAGGGGGCTCGTGATGGTACCATGGATCACAGCCATGGCCCAAGATTGAATTAAAGCAAAACCCATCAACGGGATCAGCCCATCAATAGGATCAACCCATCAACGGGATCAATGATAAATCGCCGCTGGGCCCAATTAGGAATCAAGCCCACGACAGGAATCCACAGCCAGGCCGGGCTGGACAACAGACCTCGAGCCTGGACGGAGTTCTAGTGAGACCAGTATATTCCTATGGTTTACGTGGCCCGGCTATCATTTGTTCCTAGCTATCTTGCAATGGAAGGAATTCGTGAACAAGAAGGAGATAATTATTATTTGACATCCAAGGCGTGATAGGAGTTCTATTCGAGCAAGAATGTAATTAAATAACATTTATTGTATTAGTTTCCTCTTGAAATAATGGCTCCAAAAGTCTATAAATACTTCTTGTAAATACCCTACCAAGGGATCCGGATTTTGGACGGCCAATTAATCCTTCGGAATAAGAATATACTGCCTTACGCTGCCATATTTTCTCATACTTATCATATCTTTCCTATATTTAGCTCTCGTATTTAGATTAAACTACATCAATTATATAATAAATTAATGGAATAATTACATAAATGTGACCAGACTGAAGATGATTTACAAAAACATGACTAGTGACTAGAGTAGTAATGAAATCATAGTGATTCATGTTTAAGTTTTAATTTTAAGTTACTACAACACCACATTGTAATAATGAATAGTCATATTTATGTAAATATGTTTTATTTTAGTAGTATTCTCGTAAAAAGTTCTAATTAATGCACCCTTTGTCTCTGATAAAACTTTCATAGTACAAATAGCACAGAGATAAAGATAGTAGATATTGCATAATATAAAGTTGTATAGAGATGAAAGAAATGTTTAAGAAATAATGCGAACCACAAATTCTTTACCAAAAAAGGAAAGTGAAAATTTAATTGGGATGAATGTAAAAGGAAAGTTAGAAGTTTTTTCAAAGACGGAGAGTAATTATTATTTTTATAACTAAGCACAATTGGATAGTTAATAATAAAATTATTAACTTTATCCCTTAAAACTTGGCCAATTTGACATGCACGGAGATTAATAAAGTAAAAATTGTGTCTTGGACACCGGCTGAAGAGAAGTTTCTTATAGAAATGTTACTTGAATTTCAAAGAAACAAGAAGTTGTTTATTGGTGTTGCTTATGACCCTGAAGTGCTAAAAGAGATTTCTTCTTTTCTTGTGAAGACATTTCAGAAACCTTTTTGCTATCAAAAGGTTCTGAAAAAATGCGATTCATTGAAACAGACGTACTATTTGTGGCACATACTTTACTATTGGCCCGGTGTGACCCACAATGTTCACACAAATGCTTTTGTAGTTGAGGAATCAACTTGGGATGTCATTATACGGGTACTCTACATAACTAAGTTATTTATATCATTACAGATAAAATACAGCTAATTAAATAAAACTTATGATGTCATTATACAGGAGCACCCGTATGCCAAAAAATTCCGGGATGCACCAGAACCATGGTGGTTCGAACTTTATGGGATTTTTGATCCTATGCGTCTAGCAGCTGAAGAGAAGAAGTTTCATGACTCTGGCTACTGTATTGAGACACCTGAACCATTCGTTGATGATGAGGCGGAGGACGAAGATTGTCATGTGCGAGATGAGCAATCCTTCGTAGCATCTGCCAAGTATCTTGTACCATTATCCGGTCCATCTCCATATGCCGGCAAAAGCGAAATGGAAATATGGAATGCACGGTTTGAAGAGGAACTTGGCATAGAACACTCTGCAATGTCTTCCGTTGCTTCTTCGATATGGCCATGAATCGCGGGGGTCTTTCTATATTAAATGAACGTCTGCATCCTTTTTGCTCATCCACATTTGTATGGTTTTATATGACGTCGTTGTATGTTAAAAACCTATATGACGTCTTTAACCTTTTTGCTCACCCACATTTGTTTGGTTTTATATGACGTCGTTGTATGTTAAAAACCTATATGACGTCTTTAACCTTTTTGCTCATCCACATTTCTATGGTTGATATGACTTCGTTGTATGTGAAAAACCTATTTCCAGGATTAGTTTGGATATTTTGTCGGTGATTCGCTTTTGAATGTTAATATAATATATGCTTTGTGTTAACAATTGACATGTTTATTACATTATTTTGTACACTTAAAAGAAAGATGTTGGGCAGCCATGCCCACCACAAGTATGGCTTCCTTGCCTTTTTCACTTATATTTTTATGTCTTCTTACGTCCGAATCTCTTATATTTTGCTCTATACACTTTGTGATAGAATTGTTTTTGTCTCTGTTTAGCATTGACTTGTTGGTAACTGCGAGTATAACCCAAGTCTTTCTCTTAGGGTGCCTTTGGATTGAGTTCACTTAAATAAAACTAGGTAAATATATAAATGGTGTTCAGATAACTAGGTAAACATACTAAAATTACTTATAAGGAAAACTGATGTAGAAAAAAATCCTCACATCCCTGAAAAAAATAAAAATAGATGTAAAATTCCATCTTAGTTTGGTAAGATCTATTGCAAACAAAATAAAATTATTTGTCCAAAATAGAGCAGACTTGTCTTTAATGATAGATTAATAACATTTGGATACAAACAACCCTTGTATCGTAGGAATACCAATAGTTTGCACAATCATATTAATGTAACCTTAATAACGCAATCAGACTAATGCATAGGAACACCAGTTCTGCCAAACATTATCGATGCACATATTCCATCTCTCAATTTAGTCATTGCTTCATCACTCTGAGGAAATTGCACCTCATCCAACGTGTCATCTTCTTCTTCATCACCACTTGATGAAGTTGCACCTTGTCTACCTTCTGCTTCAAAAAAATCATCATCACTAGGATCATTCTTTCGAATAAAATTGTGAACCGCCATTGTCGCAGGTACAAGACAAATTTGATCATTCCAACCTATATTAACTGGCATTGTATCCATTATTTGAAATTTCTTTTTCCATACACCAAATGATCGTTCAATCACTGAACGCAATGATGAATGCACATGATTGAATACTTCATACTGGTTATTGTAAGATGCCGCCCTTTTGAAGTCGGGTATGTGATACTTGTTCCCTTTATATGGAGATAAAAACCCTTTCACATTTGGATACCCGGCATCAACTAGGTAATACTTATCTTGATGTGGTTGGGGAAAATTCTTTGACGGGTCTCGAAGAGCGGAGTAGAAAATTCGAGTGTCATGTGCACTTCCTTCCCATCCCGGCAACACAAAAGTGAAACACATGTCAAAGTCACATGCCACCATAACATTTTGACTTGTAAACCCCTTCCTACCAATAAAAGGTACTTGCTTATCAAGAGGAATTTTCGCTTTGATGTGAGTTCCATCTATGGCACCGATGCAATCCTAGCAATTATAAATATATTAATTAATTAAATAAATTAATTAATTATAAAACATGTATATTTGATAAATAGTATTTCCTTTGGATTAGATTCTTACCTTAAAATGAGGCCAGTATCTTGGATTACCTTGAATGTGGGGATGTGTAGAAGCGTTGTCAGAAAATGGCCTAACCCAATCAATTGACATCTTTGTACACGCTTTAAGTACATTGTGAAATGAGCGGCTTATTGTAAAACCAGACCGCTGGAACATTTCTTGAAGTTGCCTATTTCCTTCATTGGTACCAACCACCATCATAAATGTTGCAACTTGTTCCTCAACGGTTACACTTCTATTGGGTTTGAGTCCGTAATTATTGACCAATTGTGCACATAACCCAAAGAACACCTCTTTATGCATTCGAAAGTTGTTATGACACCTTTTTTCATGTCCATTTAGAATGGACATTATAAAAGCCCACCCACTATAATTTCTATCATAGCAAGGCCTTTTTTGTAGATAATTATTGTAATATATAGCTGAACCAATTGCAACTGCACCCATATAGTTTTTATTTGTATCAGCAAATGATGTTGAACTATTACCTTCACTTTCCGACTCATCCAAGTCATTATCTATATCATCTTCAGTGGATGATTTGGAAAGAGAACCCGGTTGGATTTCAGACGATATTTCGGACATTCTGTGTACATAAACATAAAAAAAAATAGGTCAAACATTATTTAAAATTTAAAGATACAAACTATTAAAAAAAATCATAATTATGAAATGACAAAAGGTCCAATATTTTTATCCAACAGAATAGTCGCATGTAAAAGTACAGAAGTCACAAACAAAACATTAGTAAATTGTCTAATATTTTTTAAACACAATCTTCATCCACAAGAAGCATTGTCCGCTACTGCAGTACGAGCAGAAGTTGTTTCAGAACTTCTTTTATGACTAGAATTCTCGCATTGTTCTTCAAGCCATTTTTTCTTCAAAGCGTCAGTCTTTATAGCAATAAACAACTCTCTCACATTCGGTTTTAAGAACACCCTGGTCGCATACATCCACACCTTTCCTCCCGCTTCAATGCCATCTATACCGTCCAATACATCCATGCATTCCTGTATTGTAAACTGGCGAGGTTGAGAAGATGAACTCTCCTTTTTCATTGTGCCCACCATGTCCTCAAGACATCTAGCAATTTTCTCCGATGAGGTTAACTTTTTGTGTTTCTTTCCAGTGATAGGTGTTGGAAATTTAATTGGAAACACAGTATCTCGCAAGTTCTTTTTACTAGAACTCCTTTCAAACCCGGACCGTTCAGTGTTGTCACTTTCAAACCCGGACCTCCTAACAGTATCTTCTTGCTCCTCTTCATAGCTTTCTGGTAAAATTCCAGAACTAGGTGTCCATGCATCTGCCCCTGTAGCCACGACATCTCCAAATAACAGTTGTTGCTCTTGTACTAGGGGGGGTCCACGAAATCGGAACTTAGCCACCTCGGGACGAATCTGCAATTAACAAATTTATTATTAAGTTTTATGTCTTTTGACTCTTATAATATATTAACGGACTATCTAATTATTAACTCGTACTTAGATCAACAAAGTATAATGTCATTATGTAGATAAGAATAAGTAGTTTTTATGCATGGGTGTCTTAATGCTTATTATGCTGATAAATAACTATTTTTTTTTAATAAGGGACTGTTTACTAAGAACCCAGTGGAATAAAAAAGGGATGGGCTGTTTTGAAAGACATATAGTTCCCAGGGACTTGTCTTGGTAGACTTTAATTTATGGTGTCTTTGAATGTTTAAAACCTAAATAAATTCTGTGTATGACCACATGAACCTTTTTGCAATCAAAAGAGTATAAATTAGTATTTACAAACACAGGGAGACTTTTATGAGTGCTACCTAGTCAACTTCCAGAAGTAGAAAAATGTTGAGTAAGAAAAACAATATTTCCCACTATCCAATTTCCAACCTATGTCCCCGTTAACTTAATGATTACCAGCCACTACTAAACTATGAATTTAACTGAAGCTAATAGTGGAAATAAACCAAAAATAACAGCATCCAATATAGTACCTCTCTCTAATATACTGAAAACATACTGAAAATTATTATGAGATTAGTAAAATACCTCAATCTTTCTATTCCACCATTCTTCATCAGCAGCCACCGTTTGTTTAACATTATCCCAACCTAGCCCAGTTTCATCTCTCACCAATGACATCCATTGAGACCATTCTTTTTTTAAAGAATCCCAACGGTTTTTTAACTGCGCCTTTTTATAACATCGGCCAGTTAATTGAGAAAACTTTTTCTCAATATTGTCACATCCAAGTTTGTTGAAATGTGTACCCGGCCTGTTTCCAGCTTCCAACTCCTCGACACACACTCTAATGAATGACTCAGTACTCATTAAATCCCAAGTTGCCTTCTCTGAATTCATCGAGGTCTTAACATATGTTCTCCTTATAGTATTTGTGGTTTGAGAAAATGGTGGTTGCGGCTGTGATATTGTTTGTGATTGTGATTGAGATTGATGGTTAGGGTCACAATCTGTTTCCCATGGCATTCTTGAGTCCATGACAATCACTGTATATACAATATTATTAAATATCAAACTGTTTTAAAACTTCTATTTAAGGCTTTAAGAATTTTGAATACCACAGGTCCTAATTCATCAATTCCACTGGTCAATAGATTTTTAACTTATTAAGGAAGGACCTGTTAAGCATATTGGATTATGAATCTTATTTAAAAAAAGATGGGTGACCTGCCAATAAGCTGTCTATTTGATATTCCTTAACTTTTGGGGAAAACAACATGAATCTTGGTTGAAATAAATAATAATCCCTATAAAATTCTATTTCAATTGTCTCCAAATGGTATATTCTTACTTATAACTACATCTCCTACTGCCTCATGATCACCTGCACTTATAGACGTGTCCAATACTTCTGCTTCACTTAAAAAAGTGAACAGACTACATTAAAACAACCATATTAAACTTTCTTAGTGCTGGAAACAGGTAAATGGAAGTAGAACAATAAAAATTATTGCATGCCCTGCTACCATTAGTTTAACATTCTTCTATAAAAATACCAAATTGTTGAACTTGGTTACAAAAAGCTACGTAGGGAAATATACTAAAAATACCAAATTGTTGAACAAAGTGGAGAATATACAATTAGTGTGTCTTATGTAAGGAAATAAATAATGTAAACCCATCTAAACCAAAACATTACACTTTAAAATTAAAACGAAGATGGCTTCTTACACTTTGGACGGTACAAAGAAGAAGCTTAAATTAATACTGCCTAGTGTTTATTTATGGGGTACAGAAAAGTGCTCAAACAAAATAAAATGGTTCTTCTTAACATTTTCAAGATTAAAAATAAAAAATAATACTCGTATTGTCAAAGAGTCCAAACAAAACATACATATTAGTGTAGTGGATCCACATTTAAAAAACAAAAAGCTTATCTCCATTCACATGTTCAAGCAATCCGAATAAATCAGGGAGTGATGTGAGATTAAATATGTTTCAACCGAAACCAGAAAATTCACAAAATTTCGGATAACATGGAACAAAAAATTAAACTCAACACCTACTCAGAGCGAAATAATTTCTCTAGCAGATGATTAAACGAATTGAAAAACAAAAAATCTCCTTCATACTAACCTTGAACAAATCAACAGCTATGGATCTTCAACTTCAGTTTGGTGGCTTCCCAACTTCTTTAGCACCAGCGCAGATACACGGAGAAAGATGAATTAGAACTTTAGGGTTGGGGAGCTTCATTCGTCGAGCAGGGAGGAGATCTATGCGATACCTCTGTATACGAAAGATGTTCCAAGGAAAGAAGAAAAAAGACAAGGGCATTAATGAGATACAACAAATATTAACAATATAAATGCCCCCCTACTTCTCAAGAATTACGAAATTACCAAGTTAAATTCTGCTTCTGACTTCTGCCTTCTGGCTTCTCGCGAACGGAAAAGTGAGGTGATGCAAACACTTGTTTTGGCTTTTGCTTCCAAAAAAGCCGAAAAGTGCTTTTCAGAATGAGTTGCAAACCAGCCTTAAATGTGTAATCGATGGATGTGATTTCAATCTGGTTAGGTTCCGGTTCAATTTTTTATCCCAAAACTTTATTTATTTTTTATATTTGAAATTTATTTATTAGAGTAAGTAATATTGACCAATATAGGAATAAACATAAACATAATTGTACAAATAGAAGTAAAATTTAAAACTTCTCTCAATAGTAGTAAACATTATTTTTTCCCAATATTACCCATAATCTAACTAATGAATTGGCCCCTAATTCCATTGGACAGTCGAGACAGTTCGTTGGTGGCGGGGCGATCCGGTAGTAGCAGGGCAGACCGAGGGCAATAATGTGTGTACATATATATGTGTGTGTAATTTTATTTATTTATCTATTTATTTATGCCTGCAAGCTCACGAGCTCAAAGAAATTGAGATGGAGTTTGACTCGTTTGCTTAACGAGCCGACTAGAGCTCGAATCAAGTTTTGACCGAGCTACTTACAAGTAGCTCATAAGTGGCTTGACTCTTGGAATTAGGGTTGAGCATATTCCGGTCCGGACCGGAAAACAGGACCGAACTGGACCGGTTGGTCCAGACCAGACCCGGACAGGATAGATACCGGTCGGTCTTCAGTCCAAGGGTTTTACCAATTTCGGTCCGTTCCCGTTCGAAACCCGGGATTTACTGGTCTGGACCAGTTAGGCCGAAATTAATTTAGAATTTTTTACGAGAATATTACTAAAATAAAACATATTTACAATGTGGTGTTGTGTTAACTTAAACTCAAAAATATTAGTATAATTAATAATTATACTTATATTTTTTGAGAACTCTTGCATTCGAATAATCGTATGTCTTAGGGAGTTCTCCGTATTACTTGCTCTATTAAATTTTACTCCCCCTCTCCCCAAAAAATACATGCATATTAAGAAAAATAATAAAAAATTGAAAATGTATGATTGTGATGAGTCAGACAAAAATAAATGAATGTTAGCCACACAAAAGTTTATAAAAAAGAAATGAGAATTTTTTTGGGAACATCCTAAATAGTAAGTTAGAAGAATTTTGTGAGACGAATAAAATAAAATTTAAATATAATACCTAAATTTATTTATTTTTGGAATGGGATAATTGAACGGAGCTAACCCAGATTGGAATTTATTCCGCCGGTTTTGGAACTTCGGAACCGGAACCTTCGGTTCGGTTCTAGCTTTGGTTCGAACCATGACAGGTCTAGTGGTGATTATCGGCCCTAAGACTACCTGCAACCCAGGACTCAATAACCCAATTTTAAACTTTTCATCCTAAAATTCTCTACAACCCATGTATTTTGGGGTGTCAAAGTGGATGTATGACACCCATGGGGAGGAATTCCTGTAGGCTTATCCACCGAGTACGAATGGAAGAGAACAAACAAAGGCTTCTAGTTGACTGCATGAAAAAAAAAGTAGTGGGCCTAAAAGTTTAAATCTCACTTTTTTAAAAAGTGTAATAACTCTTTTATTTATATTTTAATTTTTATAAAAAATATACCAAAATTCATTATTTTTTATTATCTTTCAAATGACACCAATATTGTATATATAAGTATTTTTTTGCATTTTCACCTATTTTTTCTAAAATAAGCCCGAAATAACATTAAAAAATCAAATACCAAATTTATGTATTTTTACATCGGAATGTTTGACTTTTCAAATCATGATTATTCATAAAAATGTTAAATTGAAAAATATTAATGTATAATAATAAAAGTAATATTTTAATTTTAAAAACATTGCGGGGTGAATATATTAACGGAACTGGATTGCAGTGAAAACCGGATTGATTGAATGAATACGTATAAAAAGATGGGGAATTTGATTTATTGACGGGGCTGGATTGCGGTTAGCCTAATAATCACCGTCTATTACACCTCTGCCAACAGGGTGATTCATTGTGTGTGTATGACACGATTCCACGCAATGTATATCCACATCTGTATATCACTGACTGTAAAAGTGTCATTTTCCTGGAATAGATATGAGTCATATGACAGGACAGGCAAATAATATGAATGCACTTGTGTTGGAGAAACAAAATCTACCCTGTATAAAGTGTGTAGCTTTTTAATAACTAGAAATCACCTGCTTTTTAACTTGGAGATATTTGGTTTTGATAGTTCAGAAAGCAGAGCCACTCTCTAATGGGTAAAGGGGGTATGTCCCATGGAGCCAGTGAGGAAGTTCAAGGCGGGGAAGAAAACATGGCTGCCTGGCTTGTCGGTGCCAACGACCTCAAGATTCAGCCTTTCAATCTTCCACCTCTGGGTAAATCTTTATATCATTCACCTCTTGGTTCTTTATCTGGGGTTGATTCTAATTTTATGATTTATCCAGCGCTATCTGTAATCACATGTTTCTGATTATTCTGGAAATTGCCAGGACCCCATGATGTTAAGGTTAGGATGAAAGCTGTTGGCATTTGTGGAAGTGATGTTCACTACCTTAAGGTAAACATACCTTATACTATGTGCTTGATTAAGTGAGTGTTTGCTTATACTTTTGGTATAATTGATCCTTGTGAGTTGGAATTATTGATTGCTTATACTTTCAAAAATGATTTTTTGAAGTGATTTTAGAGAATGTGTTTGATTTTAGAGAAAGTGTTGAACAGTTAAAGGTTATAAGGTTATAGTGTTTGTGAAAAAGTAGTAGATTAAGTGTTTAAGGTAATGTTTGATAAAATAAGTGATTTATGTAATAGAAAAAGTGAAAAACATTTTAAAGCATCTCTCAAAAAGTGAAAATCTGCTTCCGCGTAGCGTTTTAACTTTTAAATGCTTACTTTAAGTAGAATTTGTCATTTGAAAGCACTCATTTTAGCTTTTTTAAGACAAAAGCTGAAAAAAATATTTTTAAATCTGTTGCCAACACTCCCTAAGTAAGCTCTTAGAATATAGGACCAAGATAGCTTTTTTGTCCGGGTTCATCGAAGCAGACCAATCTTTAAACATGAAATTCCATTCTAAAAGAGTAATCTAATTGAACGTGTAACTATCTCTATAAGTAGGGTTATATTTTTTTTATTTGATCTATGTGCATGCCTTAATAAGTGTCATTTTTGTATGAATTTCAATGTAGCATATGAAATGTGCTAGTTTTATTGTGAAAGAACCGATGGTGATCGGGCATGAGTGTGCTGGAGTGATAGAAGAGGTGGGGAGTGAAGTCCGGACACTAGTTCCCGGTGACCGTGTGGCTTTAGAACCCGGAATCAGTTGCTGGCGATGTAAACTATGCAAAGACGGAAGATACAATTTGTGCCCCGAGATGAAGTTTTTTGCTACCCCTCCTGTCCATGGATCTCTAGCCAATCAGGTAGATCATAACTTCAAAACGTATTTAATTTGATGAATATGGAAGGAGCATTGTTTTTTGTCAATCCCACAATGCTAAAATGAAAGTAAAATGTACTAATAAGACTTTGAATTGAACTTGTAAATTGATTAGATTAAATCTGTTAATGTGGTTTGACCCAATGTCTTATGATCGAATTGAACAATCCCAATCCAGTCCCAGATTCCACCCTTTTTTAAATTTATTTTCAAACCCAATGGTTTTTGTATTTTCAATCAGATTGTGCATCCTGCTGATTTATGCTTCAAATTACCGGATGAATTGAGTATGGAGGAAGGGGCAATGTGTGAACCTCTAAGTGTCGGTGTTCATGCGTGCCGTCGAGCAAACATTGGTCCAGAGACGAGAGTGCTGGTTATGGGAGCGGGACCTATAGGTCTCATCGCCATGCTGGCAGCGCGTGCTTTTGGTGCCCCGAGAATCGTTGTCGCTGATGTCGATCAGGCCCGTCTTTCTGTTGCAATGGATCTTGGAGCAGACGCGGCCATCAAGGTCTCAACCAATATCCAGGTATCTGCTTCTATCTAATTAGCTGTCCTTTTATCAAAACACTTTTAGGAGGTGGGGGTATGTTTATTAAACAAACATATTACCATTGCCATATTGGAATTGGTATACTTGTAGTAAATCTAGTTATCATCTAATTGTTCCAGTAAAGTAGTTCAGTTGATACATGATGGCGGAGTTTGATGCCATTACTTCAAGTAAGTCCATTATATATTAGTAAGGCTCAAGGCATATCTAATTGGGTTGGATGACTTGATCAGGATGCGGCTGCCGAAATAGAGAAGATTAAAGAAGCTATGGGGGATGGAATAGACGTGAGCTTTGATTGTGCAGGCTTTGATAAAACAATGACAACCGCACTTGGTGCAACTCGTTCTGGTGGCAGCGTTTGCCTTGTCGGCATGGGTCATGAGTACATGACCCTCCCTCTCGCCACAACCTCCGCAAGGTCAGTAAACATGATGCGATTACTATCACTATTACTATTACACCAGATTCCTTTTTAGTAAGTAATGACAAATGTGTGACTAATACAAAAGCAATGGACAAAAATGTGACTTTTACGGTGTAGTGACAATGATTTGTTTTCTTATCGTTTTGTGATATATATTCTCGTTCAAATGGTGGTGTTCAGGGAGGTTGATGTGATCGGGATTTTCCGCTACAAGAATACATGGCCTCTTTGCATAGATTTGATGAAGAGTGGGAAGATCGACGTGAAACCCCTCGTCACACACAGATATAAGTTCTCTCAAGAGGAACTCGAAGAAGCATTTGCAACCAGTGCGCGTGGTGGCAATGCCATAAAGGTCATGTTCAATCTTTAAAAGCATAAAAGACTAATGCAAGAAGAGAGACTTGCTTCCTAAAACTTGTGCA